TAACAAAAAATGTTACTTGAGCAGCAAATCAGCATATTATAATGATTTCTGAAGGATCATGTTACACTGAAGACTGAAGTAATGATGCTGAAAAAACAGCTTTGCATCACAGGAATAAATTACATTTGAAAATATATTAAAACAGAAAAAAAGATGTTTTAAATGTAACAATATTTCACAATATTACTGAAGTTTTTTTTTATTAAATAAATGTAGCTTAGATAAGCATCTGAGAGCCTTCTTTAAAAAAAAACATTAAATTATTTTAAATTGTAATAATATTTCACAATATTACTGAATTTTTTTTTATTAAATAAATGTAGCTTAGATAAGCATCTGAGAGCCTTCTTTAAAAAAAAACATTAAATTATTTTAAATTGTAATAATATTTCACAATATTACTGAATTTTTTTTTATTAAATAAATGTAGCTTAGATAAGCATCTGAGAGCCTTCTTTAAAAAAAAACATTAAATTATTTTAAATTGTAATAATATTTCACAATATTACTGAATTTTTTTTTATTAAATAAATGTAGCTTAGATAAGCATCTGAGAGCCTTCTTTAAAAAAAAAAAAACATTAAAAATATTACTGATCCAAAACTGTTGAACGGTAGTTTATATAATGCCCACTTTTTTACAATTCGATCTATTCCAGATGGATAAAATGTCTAGTCCTACATTTTGTCTTGTTGAATATCCTGTTTCACATTGAAGTACTGTATGTGACACTGTGTAAGTGAAATGGGTTGCATCATTTTGACTCCAGGAATGATAACACACGGCTAGTCTTGGTAAAGTGACGTGGACCGTACCTGACAGTACCAATGAAAAGAACTGGCTCTTGGGGTATGACTGACAGCTTGCTCCTCAAGTCCTCCAGACCAATGTGAGCGATGTTGACACCATCAATGATGATTGATCCTCGGCTGAGCTCTGCTAGTCTGAAGAGTGCGACGCCCAGTGAAGATTTCCCTGAAGAAACAACCCACCTGTGTCACAATCTATTTCCTCCATCAGTAACACGACCGCAGCAGTACAGACGAACACAAACGACATCTGATAGGATAAAATAGCCAAGTAGACAGGTGTACCTGAGCCCGTTCTGCCAACTATCCCTACAGTCTCTTCTGGAAGTACACTAAAGGAGAGATTCTTCAGAACCAGAGGAAGGTCATCCCGATATCGCATTTCTACATTCTGGAAGGTGATTCGTCCTTCTTCTGGCCAGCTGGAAGCAGGAGCGGAGGAGCCGCAGATCTGTCGAGGACCTTCGCTTTCCAGGTTCTGAGTGAATAATGATTATCCGCATTATTTTTAATGTAAGAGCAGCTGTGGCCATTATAGTAACTTGAACGTGCGAGGCTTCCGGTGTCATTCAGCTGTACAAAATAGTCTGTTATGCTGCTGTTATGCTTATTGCAAACTGGTATATGTTATGAAATTATTTTAATGCATAATTATAAACACACTGGTTTGTAGTAGGCATGTGAGAGACTAGTTGACTAGATGATACTGCTACTGCTAGTAAGCATTGGAAAAACTAGTCTTTTTTTTTTTTGCACCTTTTTGTTTTGATTTTTATTTGTTCAAAGGCTTTTTATGCTACTGGTTATGCAGGACAATAGTGCTATGACATTTTATACGAGTTTAGGGAAAATATTATGAATGAAACTTACTTAACGACAAAAACAGTTGCTACGTCAATATCCTTAAGAATAGAATACCTGTAAATAATCTATAGTTGCCAGTAGGGCAGAGAACAAAATTCACGATTCGTTTCGATTTGGATTCACAAGCTTGCGATTTGATTCAAAATTTAATTCGATAGTGATTATTTGGAATATATATCAGGTACAGTACATGGCAAATTTTCTCATGGAAAAAAAAATCTCTCAACTAATACTAAATTAACTAATTTATACACAAACACTTAAATTACACTCAATGAAGTTTTTATAATAATAAAGTTATAATACTTACTTTACAATTACGTAATTATTTTTCTACTCCAAATAAAAAAAAACATTTAAATGGTGGCTGTCACTGTCAATTTATTCAAACATAAATATTGAAGAACAGTAAAAATTATAATGAATATGTCGTATGGTGCTTCATTTTTCTAGCTGAAGTTTGTTTTTTCTGATGTAAATGTGACAGTATAACACAAGCTGTTATACTGACGTCTTTTGAAACACTGATTACATGAGACAGGAGACGGATTTCAGTAAGTTGTACTCTTTCTTTTAACACCTTCGGATGTTCATTCATGTTTATTTCGTGCTGAAACTGCTATTAAAGCAGAGGAGACGATCAGTTTGCGCTACCGCTTCTCTTCCACTCCACATTAAACAGCGCCAAAATGGCATTTGATTGAATATTGTAATAAAATGGACAGAATTCGAAATCTGAGACTTTGTTTGATATCAAAAGTAACAAAACACAAAGCTTATTGAGATTTATTGAATGGGAGGCGCGCTACAATGTTCCGTTCATTAATTGAAAACAGGTTAGACTAATTGATTCTTGGGATTTAAGAATCAATATTGTTTCAGAAAAATGAGAATCGATTAATATCGAGAAATCTATATTTTTTACCCAGCCCTAGTTGCCAGTAGATGCCAAGTTTTCTTGCAATTTTGTTATATTTATAGGTACTTTTCATACACAAGAAGTGTGTTCAAACAGCAAAGGTAAAGAACAGCAGCAAAGCAGGCTTATTCTGCACAGCTTCTCCAGAGTCCGATTTGGTGAACCGGTTCAATTATTTCATCAAAAAGAACCGGTTCGAAAGAATGATTCGATCATGAACCAGACATCACTCCGGACCCGTTGTCTGAGGCTCTGGATTTCAGGTAATAATGTTGTAAATAATGTTCGGTTTCTTGCACAGACTGATTGTTTCACTTCATAAGACCTTAATATATCATCAGGAGCCATGGGCATTCATTTTGTGTTTCTTGATATGCTTTTTTAATTTATTTTATGAATCACCAAGGACCACAGTTTCAGCTAAAAATCTTCTTTACTGTTCTGCTGAAGAAAAAAAGTCACCTACATCTTGGATGGCCTGAGAGTAAGTTAAACAGCACATTTTCATTTTTGGGAGAACTATCCCTTTAAGTTTAATATACAATTATCATAATGCAAGGCAAGCCTGTAGACTACAATTTGATTTGATTCATAAATTAAGTAAGCTATTTCAAATGGATCAAAGAGTTTTACTGCACTTCTTTACTCTTCTAGTTATTTACCTATAGCAGTTAATGAATTGGTAGTCTCACAGAAAAAGCTAACTTTTGCAATGCAAAATAAGTTGGATACTTTGTACTTCAGAACTCAGCGAGACCATTATTGGCTTCATTAATCAGTGTAAAGTGCTCTCCGCCACAGTAAGACAGCTGTACTGTTCTGCTTTGATAAGAGCCTCCTGAAACTGTGAAACTGTGTCATTCACTATGATGTTCTGTCTGGCAATAAACGCGTCCCATGAAGCCTGCTGAGCGGGATGTAGCAGGCTCAGTATGCAGCGCGCTGACCGCTGGGCTCAGCGGCCTGTGCAAAGTAAAGAGCTGATGTCTTTTGTGCGCTGTGTCAGTTGAATAACAAATGGTCTGTCCCTTTCTATTTGCCATTGACACAACCAGCACGCATGTGTCACAGAAGCTTCTACCTTTATGTAATGATTGATCCGCTCCACTGATGTAAAGCGGGCTTCGGTTTCAGAAAGCAGCCTCACGGTGAACTGAAACAGGCCGGTTAGCTGGATGTGGGAAGGGAGAGAAATGAGCAGTGAATAACAACTGAGCAATAGTGAGCAATGCTAATTAATCATGGCACAGTAACGGTCCTGCCCTACAAACGTCCCCACTCATATACAGTATGTGAGAGCGGCGCACCTGTACGGCGTAGGAGATGGCCAGACCAGCGTAGGCAGGAGGAATGCGGCCGTGCATGAAGACGATGAGGAGGGCTATAGTGGTGATGAGAGAAATGCTGATGAGGTCCAGACGCACAGCCAGCCAGCGCATAGCACAGCTGAACAGATAGTGACACGCTTGGTTTGTGTCAAGCAGGGCTTGATTCCTGGTGGAATATAACCAATATTTAGCCAAAGTCCTTATTTTGCAAGTTTATTCATAACATACTTTGCATCTTGTATATATATCTATCTATCTCTCTCCCTCTCTCTCTCTCTATATATATATATATATATATATATATAACTGTTGAGGGACGCACAGAGGTAGCCTAATTCACACAAGCTCTCTCTCTCTCTTTCTAATAACTTCATTAATAATTGCATTTAATCCCTTTAAATATATCATCTGATCGATGTCTTGAGGTGTGGTAACCGTAGTATAAGCGGAATAATTGACGATGGGCCGTTGAATTATTAGAAAAATAATGCACACCCGAGGTCACCACCTTGGGTGTGCATTATTTTTCTAATAATTAAACGGCCCATCGTCAATTATTCCTTACTTTTATTATTAGATTTTTATTTATAAAAACGGATAGTTCCGGTCCTTGATTCTGATTGGCTGAGCCACGTTCGAAGCTGTTGTAAATTACTCTACAAACATACACCTTTGTTTACTTCTGTGTGTTGCTTGGAAACCACTTTGTTGCAACCACAACTGATTCTGAGGAACTACATTGTTTGGTGGAAGAATACTGTTATTATTTATATCATTACACTTTATTTGCTCTGTTTTATTCTGTGAAACCTTACTACGTATATGGAATAACCGTTTTATAAAATCAATAAGCCCCGTGAAGCCGTGGTTTACAGTGAATTTATAACAGCTAAGGGGCGTTGTTAGGCACGACGCGAAGTTTTCTTGAAAAGTGTGTATTTGAAAGTTTCTTTCCAATAAAAGCCACTAGGTTTGGCATTTTTCATGATTTTCTGATGCAGTGCCATTTGTGAGTGTGGCTTGAGCATTGTCTATGTGCCGTTTGAACTTTGTGCACACTTTCTGCAGCCACGGTGTATACAGACCTCAAGTAAAGTTTCACTTCAGTGTTTGTTTCAGAGAGAAAAGTTCTGCAAAGTCATGGAGGGCATTCTGCTGTGTGAATATTACCTGTGTATGAAGTCAGCACCCCTGCCGTAAGCATAGATAGTGGACAGGCCTTGCAGACTGCTGGTGATATGAGAGGTGAAAGGGGATTGGCTGATATTTTCCAGGCGCTTCAGCTCACGAATGAGAACCCTTTGGGTAAAAAGGACAATCGGAAAAGCATATTTATATATATTTTTCAGGCCCTGACAAAAAGTCAGCCAGTCATAGAATATGAGCGGCGATATACGGCTGAGTTTTGATCAAGGCTCTGGCTCATCTCATCTGCTTATCTCTGTGGCCCACAGAGCTGCCTGTGATGTGACAGGTTAGTGGCTTATGAGATGGAGGCCCACAGGGGACAATAACGGTGAGACTGAGGGGATCTTCCTGGCTGAGCTGCAGTCATTTCTGGCTTCTCAACTGATTTATACGGGGCTTTATGGGGCCCGTCACACGTCAGCGCTAACACAGGCAGAACAGCAGCGTCAGGCAGAGCCAGGCCATTATTGATGAGAAATAAGGCTGATTTCAGCTTGTAAGTGCATATATGAAAAATGCATTGCTTGTGAATAATGTTAATGAATCATACTTTTATTAAAAAGATGCCAAGCGAAGGAGGACAAACCTGCCCTTGAAATGCTTCATCTAAGACAGATACTACGAAAATACATGTATAAGGTTGGTTCTGTTGCCTTTTTAGACATATTTAAAAATAATATTAATAAATAAAATAATAATAAAATAATATATTTGTCTATTATAATTGTTTATTTAAAATTATTTAGCATTTTATAAAATTAGTCTAGAAATTTTCGCACACACACACACACACACACATATATATATATATATATATATATAATTAAACATTTAAATATTTAAATTATTAATATTTATTTAAATTAATATTTAAATTTCAAATAATATAAGATTTTGGTTAATACATAAAAACATTGTAAAACAACACAATTATATTATAAATAGAGAATATAGAGATCATGTTTATTATCTTATGTTTTTGGCAGATTTGGAAGACACATATTTGTTGATTAATCAGCCTGACCTATATATTTGGTTCTACTTTTTACAATGACTCAGCTCAACTGTTTGACCCAATAAATCTGTAAGACCAAACCTGGAGATGCGGTTGACGATGAAGAGGAACGCCCCTAAAGGAATGATGGAGAACAGGAACCAGGGAAAGACAACGCCCACCATTCCCAGGCAGAACAGCACTAATGTCACATTCTGGAGCAGCATTTCGGCTTGCATCGCCAGACGCACGTCAACTACGCACAGAGGAAGAACAGAGAGCGAACGTGTGAGAGAGCGAGACATCAAAACGCTTTGAGAAGCCCCCGTCATCCTGCATGTGAAAGGATTTGTGAAGAGAGAAAAAGAGAGGTTCCTCACCCTCATCCATGTCCCTGGAGAATCGGTTGAGAATGCGTCCCAGGGGTGTTGTGTCAAAAAAGCGCATGGGGCTCAGAAGTAGAGTCTTAAATAGTTTATCATGCAGAACCGAAGCTGCCCGCACAGTGCACTGCAAAAACAACAACAAAACAACACACACAACAGTGTTAATAATGCATGCACCCAGACACAACAAATGCTAATAAATGGGCCGGTGATTAAAAAAACCTATAAAATTCTTTAGTTAGGGTCCATAATGCAGATAAACAGGTCAGGGATGCACACAAACATTTACACAGCCATAATAGCTAGATTTATACGGGGGAAAACCTTGGCAAATATCCAGGAATGCTTCTGCTCTGTGAGGCTCTGCCTGAGACATCACACACATCCTCAGGAAAATAGGTGAATTTCCTACTTTGATAACAGATATTCACTGGAATAAAGACTTTGCACGGCCCATTTCAGAATAGCAAAAGAGCTTAAACAATGCTCACAGTTGTTCCCTCCTGATACATCTGGTTAGAAACAATAGATGATTTAAATTAAGAGGACAGAGACCGCTTCACTAGCTTTTTTGGTGCAAATTAAAGTTATTTAAACATATTTAATATCAGTGTTGACGAAAGTTACTTTTAAAAGTAATGCATAACTATATTGCATTACTCCCTGGAAAAAAGTAACTGATCGTGTTACTTTTTATGGAAAGTAATGCATTACATTACTTTTGCGTTACTTTTTCTCGTCTGGGCTGGGCTTGCTTGTTTATTTTTAATATAAAAAAGTTCTATTTTTGGCAAATGTAAATGAATAAGCCTCAGGCTGAAGATACTAAATACATAAAAGGATTTTGTGAAGACATTTAATTATTGCAGGTTTGTGTAATATTCTGAGTTTGTATTTCATTGTTTTTATTCATTTTGAGGAATACTGAATCTGTTTTAATATGAGTAAATACAAGTGTCTTGGTTAAGTGAAAATGTGTGTTGTTTGGAGGTCAGTAAGATTTTTTTCCCCAAAGAAATTAATACTTTCATTTAGTGAGGATTTATAAAATTCAGAAGTGACAGTCAAGACATTGTTAACAACACAAAATATTTCTATTCTTTCTATTCATCAAAGAATCCTGAAAAATAAAATGTTTCCACAAAAATATGAAGCAGCACAACTGTTTTCAACATAATAATCAGAAATGTGACACTGAAGACTGGAGTAATGATGCTGAAAATTCAGCATTGCATCACAGGAATAAATTATATTTTAACATATTAAAATTGAAAACAGTTATTTTAAATTGTAATAATATTTCACAATGTTATGGTTTTTATTATAATTTTAATCAAACAAATGAGGCCTTGGTGAGCATAAGACTTCTTTTTATTAAAAAAAGACATGAATGATAGTGTATATTTAATACATTAAATATATTTAAATATATATAAAAAATAAAAGTCATTTACAAATAAATTCTTTTTGTCATTTTAAGTAACGCAGGGAAAAATAAAGTGGCTTCGGATTGCTGTGCAGTGCATCAGAAATAGAAAAAAAGCATTCTGTAGACACATTCAGACAGGCCATGCAGCAAAGAGCACTTCCAATGTAGACAGCTTCATTAATTATGATGAAAGCGATCTAATTTTGGCCTAATGCACCAGCATAGACAACATGATGTCACTCTTAGCACTTTACACAGTCTAACACACACATGATGTGCAGTAAATGCATGAACGTCATCACTGCAGCAGCACATGAACACACGATTACATAAGTACAAATATTCTCAAATACATGTCAGGAAACTATTGAGAATACGCCATACCTTCATAACAAAATTCCTCATGTTATGCTCATGGGAGAACATGTTACCATTTGGATTTGATGCTTTCTGGCACAAGGGGACAAATTCATTCCATTAATGGAATATGTAAAGTTCTCAAATTTGCAATCTTACCTCTGGGTAAAAAGAGATTAGCCATCACCGAGGAATTAGTGAATACAAGTGGCACACAATTACACAGACACATAACCTCTCTAATGTGCTGTCGGCTCTGCTTAATGGAGAAGAGGGCACGGGGTCCTGAGGGGACATGTATACTCAACCCCTCCAGCTCAAAGTCAAGACACTGGACAGATAAATGGATTTAGCCTGCAGGCAATTTCAATTAAAGAGCAGAAAAAAGAGAGAGAAAAGCAGACACTATGTCATGGATTGCAGAGCAAGGATTCGGTGTGCAAATGAAACTGAAAATGAAGTACACTGTGCTCAGGGGTGTGCAATATTTCTCATGTACGATAATATTGTAATTGTTTTAACGATATGCGACCTGACGCTATTGAGTCACTCACAAGCAAAAAAACAAGCAAAAACACGTCTTGAGAGTCCAGAAGCATTGACCGTGTGATGAAGCCCATTAGAAGAACGCAGTTAAAATTACCCTATACTTCAAGTTATGAAAACAAAAAATGTATTTATAATATACGATATAGTTAAGTTAGAATAACACACACAAGAGTGCCACATCAGTGCGCGAGTGCGATTGCCAATGTGATATTGATTTTATAGTTCAACAAACAAGAAGTTAATATTGAGTAACACTTTAGACATAATATTGTCAGTTTGTCTCTGTTTCGCCAATGAAAAGCGGGAGCAGAACATTTGTGCGTCTCAGAGAAACTCTGCGGCGTTTCGTTTCTGAATGAATCTGTTTTTGAACGAATCATTGGAGTCAATGACTCAATGATCTATTCATTGAAACGGTCACTCGCTTTGTTTCTAAATAAATCACCCGTTTTGAATGAACTGTTTGAATGAATGATTCAATGAATCACTCATTAAGACAGGGACTTGCTGCCACCTACTGGCGGTTTTAGTGTCGTATTTATTTAAGTACCCAGTGTTGGGGAAAGTTACTTTTAAAAGTAATGCCGTACATTATTGCATTACTCGCTAAAAAAGAAACTAATAACATTACTTAGTTACTTTTTATGGAAAGTAATGTGTTATGTTACTTTTGCATTACTTTTTAAATCTGGGCTGGGCTTACTTGTTTGTTTTTAATATAAAAAAGTTATATTTTTGGCAAATGTAAAAGCCCTTTCACATTAAAAGTGAAATGAATAAGATTCAGGCTGAAGGAAATGTAAATTCACGTCTGTACAGTAGAGGACGCAGCTCAAACAAACCTTTCAGCTGTGCTGCCATTCTGCATTGCATGAAGAAAAGGATGCAAGAGAAGAAAGTTCAACACTCTTCAGCGATAAAATAAATAAACACATATATTATGTTTATCTGAAATCATGCTTATTAGTATGGTTGAATTGGATCATCGAAGGTCAGCAGCAAAGACATTGAATAAATTGGATTAAATACATAAAGGATATTTGTGTTATTTAACATATTTAATTAATGCAAGTTTGCGCCATATGAGTTTGCACTGTTTTTATTCATTTTGAGGAATGCTGAATCCGTTTTTTGTGCGATATGAGTAAATGCATGTTCACATTGAGTCTAGAACTACATCATGTTCACACAGAGCACACAACACGTCTGCACTGACTCCTGATTTCTCTCATCATGAGGACAGGAGAGCTGTCAGTCAATACATGGGAAAGCAAAGTAACTGGATTTACTTACTTGAAAAAGTAACTCGGATATGTTCTTGTAAATTAAAAAGTAATGCATTACTTTACTAGTTACTTGAAAAAAGTAATCTGATTACGTAACTCACGTTACCCCAGACACTGAAATTACCAGCACAAAAACACACTAAGCAAATATCGTTTAATTATTGTTACCGGAAACAAAATCCCAAAACATAGAGATATAATTTTTTGTCAATGTCACAAATCCCTACACTGTGCTATGAGCGTGCCCTGTCAATAACATTCAGATTCCGCTTTGGGAAAAGGCATTAATTGCAATGCCCCCTTGACAGATTAACCTGGTTCTCTCAGGTAGATTCAGCCAGTGATGAATAGTGCATGAGTAAAGAGGAAATGCATCTGCCTAAGTACCTAAGTGTTTGATGAAAAATTCAGCTGTGTGTAATGGAGACAGGAAGCCTGAACAGAGGAATCTTGTGCACTGACAAATAAACTCCAGATTACCTTGACGAACACCAGCCCTCGCACCGTCTTCAGGAAGAGCGCCACCCCCATGGATAGGACGTACACCCTGGAGTAGTACTGTATGTGTGGATTCAGTCGCATGCTGTCGCTCTCGGCGGTCTCGTTCCCCTGCAGCAGCGAGGAATTCTGCAGGGACAAAAGAACATCACCTTGGAAACATGATCCATCCCTGGAGATTCCCAACAAACCATCTGAACTGCGTGCATGAGTCCCAGTCTCAATTATTTTACAGAATGTGAGTTAACTGCAACATCTGTTGCCGTGATTGTCCCTCTGAGTAAATCATGTGGAGTCTGGCACTTCTAATTAGATTCGGGATTGATGTTCGTTTCGGCTAGGCATCAAAACACGGCGATTAAAGCTGGTGGTTTGTCACCTTAAAGGAATAATTCACCCAAAAATAAAAACAGGCATCATTTTTTTTTTGTTGTCATTTTTGTCGTTCATGTCGTTTCCAAACATGTGAAGACTTACTTTCTTCTGTGAAACTCAAAATGAGAGATTCTGACCTGTTTCTGTTTTCCTTGCAATTATAACAAATGTGTAATGAAGCTTTCAAGCTTCAAAAAGAAGGACACAAAAGAACCAAAAAAAGTGTCATGGTCAATTTTAAAGGGTTCTTTTACTCTAAAATGTAAATTCTGTCATCATTTAGGCTACCCACCCTTGTTTTAATCAAATCTCTCTCTACAGAAAAAGTCTGTTCACCCAAAACTCTGATGCTTCAAAATGTTTGTAAAGAGATCAAATTAATAAATCCATATTAACTGAGCAGTTTAATCAAAGTATTCTGAAGAGCAGGGCTGCCAGGTCTGGATGTTTTATTTGTAAGCATCATACTTTTTTCTCTCATTTCAGTTAATCTCATAAAACTAGTGAGCTAAGCCAGTAGTAGTAGTAAACATGGCTGAAGGAGCGAAGAGCGGAACAGACAAACCGATTCAATTGAGTGAGTCATTTACGCTGGAACTCCAGTTGATTCAAACTCAAGTGACTTCGATCATTCAGTTCAAGCGATTCACAAGCAAAAACCAGTTCAAAAGAGCCTTTCAGTTTCGAATTTCGATGTATTTGAAATGCTGTAAACATGACAGAATTTTCATTTTGCGGTGAACTAACCCTTTAAGCTATTATTCACAAAATAATTGAAATCCACCCTAATTCTCTTTTGCACATTGATGAAAGATCATGAGCAAGTAGCGAGGAAACAAATGATTCTTTTGAGTCAGATCATGTCAATGAATAGGATGACGGGAATGATTCATTCAATGATTCGCTCATACTGATCAGAATTTCTCCTTTTGTTTTCCTCAGAAGAAAAAGTGAGTTAAGTGAAGATGAGTGAGTTGTTATTGTTGGCTGAATCATCCCTTGGTCTTACCCCGCTGCCTTGCCCGATCCAGTGACTGAGCCACCAGTTGCTGAAGGCGATGCTGCCGGTGGTGAAGAGGAAGAGGAGGATGTTTACGATGAAGGCCAGAGGCCCTCCGGCAGCCTTGATGTAAGTAGTGTACACTTGCCAGTCCACGGCCCCGCTCCCCTTTTCCTCCGCCTGCATGAGCTGATCTGTGAGGGGCACATCAGACGACAGAAAGAGAGAAGAACAACAAAGAAGTGACTCAACACCGACTGTCAAAGCTACACTTCCCAAAAGAGGTCACATGGTGCCAAAGGACTGGAATAAACGATTGTGCCAAACTCAATGTGTTTTTGCAATTAATTACTGATAAAAATTCATAGTGTATACATATTGTATATTTATATTTTAATGTATTTTATTATGCTACATCAACATTAACACACATGCACACACACAATGCAGTTTTGTAAATTGCAATGTAAATATAAATTTGTAATCAACATATATTAAAAAAAATATATGCATACTATAATGTAATTAATTTAACATGATATATTGACATATTATAAACACACCTAAACACACACATACACATTATTTATATGAATATGTTGATTACAAATAATGAATTTGTAGCTGATTATAAATTGACAATTAACAAAAATGCATTTACACAAAACATGAACATAGATACCTGAATAGATAAAAATGTATAATTTTATCAAATTAATTTTATTTGTTAATGTAAACATGACATGATATATATATAGAGAGAGAGAGAGAGAGAGAGAGAGAGAGAGAATGTATTTATAAATATTTATATATCTATAATAAATTAACAATTAACAAAAATGCATCAACACAAAACATGACAATCTGAACAGGTAAAAAAAAAAAAGCATATGCAGTTTCTGCCATTTTCAATGTTTTTTTTTTTTTTTAGGGCAGTATGTTAATAGTTAGAATAATGAATCTCCACAGTCATCCAATACAGAACTGAAGTTCTGAAGAAAAAGCAGATGAGAAGCACTGGATTAAACCCCCCTCACCTCCTTTCTTGCTCTCAGTATGTGTTTTGGCTGCAGGGCTGACATGCAGGGACCGCGGGCTGCTCTCCTCCACGGCCCTCTGCTTGTTTTTCAGGTTCTTCCTCACAAGGTTCTGGATAAAAGATGAAGAAAAAGAGAAAGAGCGAGACCTGGTAAAGAGCAGCCTGCAACTGATTAACAGAACAAATTAGCCAGAACAATGGCTGCTGGGCCATTAATACAGAGATCAGTGACAATGTCCCTCAGCTGTTACTCCTACAGATCAATTCATTTATAAATTACAAAAGCACGGCATGAATTGACATTTCAAATCCAGTGGCTCTGCAGCCCGTGGTTCATGCATTTTGCAGAGGGTGATGTAGGATGTTTTGTGAACGTGTGACCCTGGTGTTTTCCCATAGGGCGGCGTATCGCACCTCTTCCTGCACGCTGTTGAAAAGGGCAGCGTAGTCTCGGCCTTTCTCCATCAGCTGGACGTGTGTGCCGTGCTCTGCTATCTGACCGTCCTTCATTAACACCACCTCATCACACTCAGGCAAGAACTGCAGAATAAACACACCCGCGGGAACGGACACAGAGCGTCACAAAATACAGTGAGGAGGCCTTATGTTACATTAACCTATTAATATCACATTAGAAGTCATTTGCTCATTAAAAAAATAGTTTTAAGAGACAATTTTGTGTTTTAAAATTTTGAATAGGGATGCATGACATGCCCTTTTTTAAAAATATATTTATTAAGATTGTTTTTATTTATCAGTAACAGTAAATACCGGATATATCCCCAAGCATATTAATATCATATTATCAGTAAATATTAGTAACATATATCAGTAACAGTAAATATAGGATATATTATAAGTATTAGATAAATATTTATTAACCTATTAATATCACATTAGAAGTCATTTGCTCATTAAAAAAATAGTTTTAAGAGACAATTTTGTGTTTTAAAATTTTGAATAGGGATGCATGACATGCCCTTTTTTAAAAATATATTTATTAAGATTGTTTTTATTTATCAGTAACAGTAAATACCGGATATATCCCCAAGCATATTAATATCATATTATCAGTAAATATTAGTAACATATATCAGTAACAGTAAATATAGGATATATTATAAGTATTAGATAAATATTTATTAACCTATTAATATCACATTAGAAGTCATTTGCTCATTAAAAAACATTGTTTTAAGGGACATTTTTGTGCCTTTAAAAATTTTAATAGAGATGCATGACATGCCATCAGTAATAATTTTTTTTATTATTTATTAAGATTTTTTATTTATCAGTAACAGTAAATATTGGATATATCCACAAGCATATTAATATCATATTAGAAGTCATTTGCGCAATAATAAAAAGGTTTTAAGGGACATTCTTTTAAAATTTTTATTAAGATTTTTTATTTATCAGTAACAGTAAATATTGGATATATCCACAAGCATATTAATATCATATTAACAGTAAATATTAGTAACATATCAGTAACAGTAAATATTGGATATAAGTATTAGATAAATATTTTATATATCCTCAAGCATATTAATATCATATTATAAGTCATTTGCTCAATAATAAAAAGGTTTTAAGGGACTTTTTTTTGTATTAAGATGTTTTATTTATCAGTAACAGTAAATATCGGATATATATCATCATATATGTTTTAAATTGTGCTTTTGGATTTTTAAAAATTTCTTCTACTTTTTACTTTTTAGATTAAATGTAATGCCCACTTAAAACTTTTTATTTTTTTAATAATGCTCATTATAATGTTATGGCATTAAAAATGACTCATTTTAGTTTTTTGTTAATAAACTATTTGTTTATATATGTATATATAAAATTCAAAATTCAGACATAACAGAATATAATTTTCATCTGCCATTTCCCAGAAGTTTTACTGTTAGCTATTTAAAATGGTTTGTTAATTGGAATAAAGCTGAAATAAAATAAAATGTAAATAATAATTGAAAAACTGAAACAATTAAAAAAAAACTTAACTGAAAATTAGAAGTGCTGCCTTGGCAACTAACCGAAATAAATTAAGTTTAAGTTGAAGTACTAAAATTACTAAAAGTGAAATAATAATAATAAAAAATAAATAAAAAAAACAAAAGCAAGTGACAAAATTACTAAAACTTAAACCAAAATGAAAATAAAAGCTTTAATACTACATAAAGTATAATAAAGTTTATATAATATAATAAAGTTTACTATAACAACTATAAAAAGAATGAGACATTATAACAATAAATGTTTATTTGGCATTTTGGCCTACTGTTTTTAAAATATTTGATAAGTGCAATAAGGCATTTAAAGCCATGCTGTGTTATAGTCATGACTGAAGGGACTGCCTAACAACAGCCTCTGCAATAAAACACAGCCTCTCGTGCGAACCGTATTCAATCCACAAACTTATATAAAGGACGAGCATGTCTGTGCTCTGTCTATGCGGTAGATCACATGCATTCATAGCCTCTTGCCTGCAGCTGGTGCGTGACAAAGATGACAGTCCTGCTCTTGGCCGCGCGGCGGATGGCGCTGTGGAATAGGTGCGATCCCACGTGAGCGTCGACGGCGCTGAGGGGGTCATCGAGCAGAAGGACGGGTCTCTCGCTGTACAGCGCACGGGCCAGACTCACTCTCTGCCGCTGACCGCCGCTCAGATTGGCCCCTCTCTCTCCTATCTACAGCAGATCATTCACTTCAGCCACACTAATCATCACACTGCATGTTTTTCAACGGCAAACTAATAGAGATATCATACGAGTGAGATTTGAACGACCTTGTGTTTTGATTGTGTTTGTCAAAGTCAGAGATTATATTATGAGCGTTATAATACCTCAGTCATATCGCCATATGGCAGCTCAATAATATCAGGAAATAAACAGCAGGCTTCCAGAACTGCGTTGTACCTGGTGAGAGATGAGCACAAAACTTGTTTAATTTTAGAAGAAAGGCCAAAGTCATTTTTATGCAGAACTCGTATATGCATGAATACGCTCCGTACTTCTCCTCAATGTATTTTTTTCCAAACAGGATGTTCTCCCTGAGGGAATCGTTGAGGATCCAGGCCTGTTGAGCAACATATGCGAAGTCTCCGTTTACAGCTACTGAGCCGCCAAGAAGGGTCATCTAGACAGAAGGCGGAGAATCAGACCTATACATCTGCTTTCGTCCTGCTGAGAGGACCAGCTGCTTCATGTCCAGGCTGCTTTATGATGGTTAAAGGGGTGGTTATAAAAAATCAAGGTTTTTCATTATTTACTCTAATTTCGTGCCAAACCCATATGCTGTTATTTTCTCAGTGGAACTCATAAAGAGAAACGCTCATCCTTTCTCTAAAACAACAGCTGTCCAGCTCCAAAAAGAACAAATACCGTAACATTGTAACATGTGACTTGTATGATAGTCTTCCAAAGACACTGAAAGTTAAGGCATTATTCACTGATGATCTTCATTTCTATGTCTATTGTGATTACAGCCTTGATATAAATACATAAAACAGAGCATTATGCATAGTTAAAAGTTTTAACCATTGAAAGATTATGGTTGCTAACATTTATTTTTTTTTAATAAACAAGTCTCTTATGCTCACAAAGGATGTTTATTTGATCAAAAATACAATAAAAACAGTAATATTATGAAATATTATTGCAATTAAAAAAAAAACAGTTTTCTATGTGAATATAATTTATTCCTGTGATGCAAAGCTGTATTTTCAGCATCATTACTCCAGTCTTCAGTGTCACATGATCTTCAGAAATCATTCTGATATGCTGATTTGCTGCTTAACAAACATTTCAATTATTGTTAATGTTGAAAACAGTTGTGCTGCTTCATATTTTTGTGGAAAATTGGATTCTTTTTTTCAGGATTCTTTGATGAATAGAAGTTCAAAAGAGCAGCATTTATTTGAAATAGACATTTTTTAAAATGTTTTTACTGTCATTTTTGACCAATGTAATGCATCCTCGCTGAATGTAAGTATTAATATCTTTCTTTCTTTCTTCAAACAAACAAACAAAACACACACCATTCTCCCTGACCCCAATCTTTTGAACAGTAGTGCATGTAATTTCTCACCTGTCCCAGTAGAGCAGATAGCAGCGAGCTCTTTCCACTGCCGACTCCTCCACAAACCCCAACCAGTGACCCCTGGTGTACAGCGCAGAAAGCAGGCCAGCAAATTACATCACAGATATTTTATGACAGTAGAGTTAGTTATGACTAGTTCTACATAAACGCTGTATTCGTGAACTGTTTGCTGCATGCAACACTTGGGCATCCCATGAAAACCTCGTTTTTGTCTGAATATGATGAGAAATGTTGAAAACCCATCTGACCTCTGACACTGTGCTATGCAGCAATCGTAAAACCGCAGATGATGTATCGCAGTACCTTCCGGATGCAGAGGTCTATGCGGTGCAGGGTTTTGTGCAGCGGAGGTCGGATGCTCTGTGTGGAGGAGATGGTGCTCTGTGGGCTCTCCTGCTCCATGTGTGTGAGGAGGTGCTCTGCGTTGGCTTCCTCGCTCTCCCCTTTGCTGTCCTCTGTGGTGATGTACAAGCTCAGCTTCTCCCTCCTCAAAACCCTCTTCATGCCTCCTCTTTTCTGCTGGGCTCGGCTCTTTTCCCCCGAGCCGCTGGTCTTCTCCCAGGCCAGTGTGGCGTCTTTAAACTCCACCGCATTATAGGGATCTTCCATTTTGTTTGAGATCAGCTCCCTGTCCTCCATCAAGAAGAGCTTCTGTGGGCGCAATAGGAGGCATTAAAGGGATGGTTCACCCAGAAATGACATTTTTGCTATCATTTACTCACCCTCATGTTGTTTCAAACCAAACAGTTGCTAGTCCCCATTGACTTCCATAGTATTTTTTTCCCTCCATACTATGGAAGTCAAAAGCGTCCAGCAACTGTCTGGTTTCCACCATTCTTCTTTCGTGTTCAACAGAGGAAAGAAACTAATACAGGTTTGGAACAACATGAGGGTGAGTAAATGATGACAGAATTTTCATTTTAGGGTGAACTATCCCTTTAAATCAGGGAATCCCAAACTTGTTTAGTAAACACTTTGAAGGAAACGTTCTCCCATAAGAAAAAAAAGTGTCATCATTTACTCTCCATGATGTTGTTCCAAACCTGAATGACTTTCTGTGAACACATAAGGAGAAATACTGCAGAATATCCATATCTTAATTATTATAAAAGTGAATGAGGACTGGGACTGTTTATGGTCCCCATTGACTTCCACAGTATGGAAAAAACAATTACATGGAAGTCAATGGGGATCATTAACTGTTTGTTCAGCAACATTCTTCAAAATATGTTCTTTTATGTTCCACAGAAGAAAGAAACTCATACAGGATTGAGTAATGGGCCGTTCACACAGAACTCGTTTTTCTATTCCAGTGCACTACTTTTCCATTGTTTTTCTATGTAAACGCACTGGATGGACGTGTATGACAGTTGTGCTCGAGTCTCGTGTCATCACTTGAGTGAGGCTGTGAGCGTCACTCATCAATGTCAGTTCCGAAACAGTGGACCAATCAGAAGAACTGGAGGCGGAGCAAAGCTTTTGTTTACAGTAGCAAGTTGGCATGCTAACTTTATTTGACCAAACATGGCAGAGGAGGCATTCTGCACTGTGCTTTTTTAAAACCATTCCTGAGCGCTGCGTCTCGCGTTTTTAGACGCAAAGTTGTGTTCAGTGTGAACGATGAATGATGACAGAATGTTCATTTTTGGATTAACTGTCACTTTAAGGTCCCACATATCATCAAAGTAGCCCAGTGCAAAATCAAAAAAAAAAAAAATAATATATATAATAATAATAATAAAGTTAGCATGTGTTGATGAGTGAGATCATCATCAGCATATGTGAGATCTTTAGTAAGATCTCAGTAAATGTTAATCTTGAAATATTACTAAAAATATACATTTTATTCATTCTTACATTTACTTTATAAAAATCAGTAAAGATTTAACAGCAAAAAGACACATGAACCTTGTCCTGAAAATTGAATTATACTAATAGGCCTTTTACTTGATAAAAAGTATCAGTCAGAAGACAGAAGTCATGCAGTAAATTATCACAACAGATTTTTCATCAAAGTTTTGATCATCTTGATCATTTAGAGGACTTGATACAGTAAATAATTTTCGGTGTTACACTATTGCACAGCTTCAGAACACCTATATATGGACCACTTTTATGATACATTTATGGTGCTTTTTGTCATTTTTGGATTCCCAGTCACTATTTGTTCAGTGTATTGGAAAAGAGCTGCGTGGATATTCTTCAAATGTTCTCCTTTTGCGCTCTATCGAAATTAATTCACATTTTAAAAAAACATGAGGGTGAGAAAATAATGGCGGAACAGTAATTTTTGGTTCGTTTGTGGATGTGGATGTGGATGTGTTTTTGACCTGAAATCTTTTCACGGCCACGGAGCCTTCAGATAAAGCACGCACCGCCAAGGGCGTGACCTTTAGAGCAAAGGTCATGGAGTTGAAAACAGCAACGATGGTGAAGGCCTGCAGGGTGTGACAGAAATGAAAACAGGTCTCTGTGAGTTCAGGTTCGAGGTTGTTTACGAGCCTCGGGCAGAAAGCGGACAGCACTAGCACGGCTTTACCTGTGCTGCGGTGAGATCATAGCCCAGAGCCATGTGAAGAGTGAACGTGCACACGCTGGCTATCACCACCACCACTGGAGCCACACCCACCGTCAGGCTTTGAACACAGCCGGCCCTCTCCAGGATCCTCCTCTCTTCTGATCGAACCCCTTGAGACACACAGGAGTCGTCAAAGAAGCAAGAGTTGTTTTCTGTTCAGTGACTATGTGGTGTGACTCTCTAAATGTCCTGGGGCCAGTTGCATGAACTGCTTAGACTAGTCTTACAAGTTAGTCATCCAGTTTTTTCATTAAGACTGGACTAATTTGAATCTTAAAAGTAAGACAGATTAACCCTTGGCTAACTTAACCTAGCTGGTCAGACTAGTTTTTAAGAAAAGGTGCTGTATGTAATTTTTTGACTGTATTAAAGCAAATAATAAGTTTGCAGATATTTAGAAAAGTTCACATACTCGTTTCTCTGAAAAACAATGCTACAGCCAGTTATTCTGCTCTGAAATGTGCGTTCAGTGTCGGGATGTCTGTTTTTGTTTTGCTCTGTGTGACTCCGCCCACTGCCAGTTTATCCAATAGGATTTCAACACCCCGGGTTGCCAGTTGGTGGAAAACACAGCGTATTGCAGCATGAAACCCAGCAAACGAATTGAGTCAGAGATCACAGATTCAAAAAAGCCCTAAAAGCCTCGGCATCCATCTAAAAATGGTCTCTATGACCAGAGGAATATTAATACGCGGATAAATCATATCAAATATGATACAGTAGGCTTTAGGATTAAATTATTTTCAGTGTTACTCACACTATCGCACGGCTTCAGAAGACTTGTTATGTGGACCACTTTTATAATACATTTATGGTTTTATTCTATTTTGCATTTCCATTTTAATTATCAAAATAACAACTTGAAATTTGCAAAACATTTAATTGATGAATTTCATTTATTTCATCACACTCTATGTCAGCATCTCGATTCAATTATAGACGACGCTCTCAAAATGTAGTTGTGACTCCTGAAGATTTAAGGGAGTCACTTTTATATAATGTATTAGTTATTCTCTTTTAAAACTGAACTGTGTACGAACAGAACCATATTTAGCGCTCCAAACAAGACGGAAAACCTGCTGTGTGAATGTAGCCATATTTTGTTTCCATCCTACAACACAGTTTCTAATTTACAGGAGCCTCACTGCGTTCAATCCGGCAGCAACACTGAGAAGTGCAACTGTAATGGAAGAGAGATCATAATCATAAATGGGATGTTGCAGTAGATGGGGATGCTGAGGCACTGGCTGTTGTCCAAGTGTCCCATTTCACCTCCCTCTGCTGCACTGATATTTGCCTCGCGACTGCCCGCAAGCTGGCACATTCATTCAGTGCCGCTCTCTGGCTTACAGCCAAAGTGTTTTGCTGCTGGTCTAAACAACCAGAAGCGCTGGACGTAATCTCTGAAAACTTTTCTGGATCTACATAATTCATATATAGAAGATGGTAATCTATGCAGGTTGTGATATTTTATTTATAAGTGCATGCAAAAAAGGTTTAAACAGAAGATTTACTGCTCAGCTACATAAAATAGATTACTGGAGGAGTACATCCCAGTTTAAAGGGTTAAATGATCTGTTTTTTTTTCTATATATACAGCGTCCTAAAAAGTGTTTTAAGACACGACTTACATGGTACTTGGTTAGATATTTCGTTATACAATGACGTTAAAGAAAGGATAGTACGAGCGCACTTTAAGCAAAACATTTTACAAAAAGAGGTTTTGAATTAAAAACTGATGAATAAACATACTGTTCAAAATGAAGGTTTATATCATGAACTACACCTGTGATTCCTCCACTAGATTTCATGTTTTGCATCCTATGCAATGAAGTTCATATATTTTTAAGGGTGATTTACGTGTCTGAATACTATTTGGGGAAACTCTACCATTCAAAATCTGGGGTTGGTAAGATTTTTTGCTAAAACTTGACAAAAAGGTTCCATTTGTTAACTATATTTAATGCATTAACTAACATTAACTAACAATGAGCAACACGTTTATTACAGTATTAATTAATCTTTGTTAATGTTAGTTAATAAAAATACAGCTGTTCATTGTTAGTCCATGTTAGCTCAGGTCTATTAAATAACTTCAATAGAACCACGTTTTAATTTTAATAATGCAATAGTAAATGTGGGAATAAACATTAACTAAAATTAATAAATGCTTTAGAAGTATTTTTCATTGTTAGTTTATGTTAACTAATGTAGCTAACAAATGTTAACAAATGGAAGGAACCTTATTGTAAAGTGTTACAGATTTTTTAAATGTATTTGAAAGCACCTCCGAGGCTGCATTTATTTGATCAAAAACACAGTTAAAAGTTATATTGTGAAATATTATTATAATAAATCACAATATCATTCAAAATCATTCTAATATGCCGATTTGCTGCAAAAGAAACTTCTAATTATCAATGTTAAAAACAGTATTTTTTGTGGAAACCATGATACATTTTTTCAGAATTCTTTGATGAATAGAATGTTAAAAAGAACAGTATTTATTTGAAATGGAAATATTTTGTAACATTATAAATATCTTTACTGTCGTTTTTGATCAATTTAATGCACCCTTGCTGAATAAAAGCGTTAATTTCTTCTTCAAAAAAAAAAACCTCCAAAATTTTGAATGGTAGTATAGATTCACGTCACCTAAATTGTACTTATTTAACATTCAACAAAGTCAAACTGTCCAAAGGCATTATGAAAGAAAGAGCGCTAAATGCTTTGTAAGTTAATCTGGAAGCTCAGGGACTCTCAGGACATTTCAGCGACGGAGGACTGAGGAAGGACAGAGCCAAGACAGTGGATTAGGAAACTTGAGATTGTTCCTTTGAATGCAGTGCAAAGCCACAGAGATGATCCTTTGATTTCCATGGAGCCTATGACATCTAAGCGCTCAGACACCATCATTATACGCTCACTTCCCGTTTGGCTGAGTCAGTGCTGCTGTTTGAGTGGTTGTAGTCGAGTGCTGTCTTACTTTGTATGTTGTTAGCAAACGCCGTCTCCCAGCAGTACATCTTAATGAACTTAATACAGCCCAGGATCTCGTTCATCAGCCGGACGCGCCGGTCTGTAACCACCACACACCTTTTATGGAAATATGCTGTCAAATGGGAGGCCAGCATCTGCAGGAAATAATTTAAATGTGAAGATCAACCTGTACAGTCAGACACAAGGCTACAGTGTGTCCTGTCTCAAAGGGAACTCACACCTAAGGTGAAATGATCTCTGCCTTACTGAAACCTGGCTTAAACCTAATGATTATTTTGGTCTAAATGAGTCTACTCCACCAGGTTACTGTTATAAGCATGAGCCCCGTCTGATTGGTCGTGGCGGCGGTGTCGCAACGATATATAGAGATATTCTTAATGTTACTCAGAAAACAGGACACAGGTTTAACTCATTTGAAGTGCTTGTGCTAAATATTATGATTACAGATAGAAGAAAAAAATCCCTGCTATCTTTCATTTAGATTTTCGCAGTGATCTGAACAAAAACAGCAGACGGGCTTAATGAAAATGCAAATCCATTCTCTGCCAGAACGGCAGAAAAAATGCAGATTCCCTGAAAACAGCACTACACAAAGTAGCACGGCATCTGAAAAGCATCACAGCCTTTTGAAGTTTATTCGTCACATTAAGCCATAATGTGTATGCAATTCTTGTCTTTCCGTCCTTAAATTTAAGACCTCTTGAAATCATAATTAAGACTTTCTTGCACCATTTATGACTTTATATCGCCTTAAATATGATACAGCTAAATTTAAGACCAACGGAAACCCTGTAATAACATCAACATAATTCATAGTAGGCCTATAAATTAATCTGACATCATATTTTTTTATCATATTACATGACTTTCAAGGACCTTTTGATTTCCAGTCTTAAAACTATGCAGAAGTACTCATATTTTACCTTCTGTTCCTTACTGAAAAAAAGAAAAGAAAAAAAAAACTCTTAAACCAGCCTTAGTTGGTGTCTGGTCTAGCCAGGTCTCTCAGTCTAGTCAGGCTGGTTTTAAATCAAGTTAAGGCTGGTTTAAGCAGGGGTTGCTCACACACACACACACACACACACACACACACACACACACACACACACACACTCATGCACATATAAAATGAAATATTCTATGCAAATCATAAATAAGTTCATTATTCATGCCAATGATTAAATTCATGCATTTATGAGTTAGATTGTCCTAAAAATCACATGAATTCTGACATTACTTTTGAAACTGAAGTCACATTACAAAACACAATTGCATAATATCACATTTATTGCCACATACATGTCTCAGATCAAAAGTGAAAATGTCAGATTCAATGTCTTTTGAGAAAACCACGTCACAAGTCACAAGCCAGGGAAAAAAAAAAGATTTGGGCCACTAAACAGCAGTGTGAACTTGGTCTTTGTAGAGGCTGTAAATATTCCTCTTATTAACAAAAGGATTAGATGTGCTTATCTTACCATGGTGGGGTAGAAGAAGACAAAAATGGCCGATCCCACGAGTGCAGTCGGTCCTAAGAAATAGATGGTGTATGACAGACCCAAAATCCCAACGAGAGGCCCTCCAGCCAGCAGACAGCCCACCGAGATGGCCTCGTACAGACGCTGTCCATCACTGGAGCAAATGTTTACCAGCTGAAAGAGTAACAGGATGAGTCAGCCAAACTAAAACATGGCACGCTTAACCCGCATCAGCGCTGGTACTCAGACCTCACAAACACAAGCCCACATTGATTTTAAAGGGCCAAAAGGTCACATGAAAAAGTGGGCTTAAACTCGCCCATGAACCCTCTCAGATGTTATTTTCCCTTTACATTCAAGTAAATAAGGCATGACCTGAGAAGCTGTTCTCTCGATATCGAAATGCAAAGTTCTGTTCCTAATGAATAGTTTAGTGTTTATTACAGGAGTATTAACACACAGTTCACCTCTCCAGTGCTGATGTCTTTAGTGCTGCGTAGTCGCAGGATCTTCTGGAAGGCGAAAGTGAGCGCGGCTCCCTGGAGGCGTGCGGCCGTGCGGTAGCTGACAGCCCACATGAAAGCTAGAGACCAGGAGCGTGTCAGCTCCATGAGGAAAATCCCGCCGACCAGAGCCAGACCATACAGCAGTTTCACCTCTGCGCACTGAGAGTACTCCAGCAGGGCTCGGATCAGCAGAGCCTGAGAATAACAGCACACAACCAGGATGCTGAGGGAGGAGACAGCTGTACAAAGACTCTGCAGAGGTTTTTTTGCTTTTATTTGAACAGGATCAAAATTACACGAGGAGGGATTCAGAGGTGAGCTTTGAGGTTTAATGGTATCAGAACATCCTCTGAGGTCATGAGATCAAGTGCTGCTCAGAGGACAACACTAGAGAGTCTTTTTCTTTGACTCCGTCTCAAACTATTCTCATTCTAATTATAATAGAGAGCTGGTCCTGGATGCTCATTGGTCAGTACAGTTGTGCTGTGCATCACATTGCTAAAAAATTGAATTCAAAAATAAAGAAATTAATAAAAAATTAACAGAATTGGAAAAATTAATTTGTCTTCCTTGATCACTTTTCAAATTGATCTTGTGCCTCTGACCAAATAACATTTTTTTCTGAAAAAGATCAATACTTTTATTCAGTAAAAACACATTCAATTGTTTAAAAGTGACAATAAAATAGATTTATAAAAAGTATATATTTTAAATAAATGCTATTCTTTTGAACTTTCTATTCATAAAAAAAAAACTAAAAAAAATGGAATTTGAATTGGAAAAATGAATTTGTCGTCCTCAATCACTTTTCAACTTGATCTTAAGCCTCTGACCAAATACATTTTTCTTTTTTTTTTTAAAAAGAAATATTTTTATTCAGTAAGGACATATTACACTTTTTGTTAATGATGGTAAAATACATTTATAAAAATATATATTTTAAATAAATGCTGTTCTTTTGAACTTTCCATTCATCAAAAAAAAAAAAAAAATGGAAAAATTAATTTGTCGTCCTCAATCACTTTTCAAATTGATCTTAAGCCTCTGACCAAATACATATAAAAAAATAAAAATAAATACTTTTATTCAGGAAGGACCCATTAAATTGATCAAAAGTGATGCTAAAATTCATTTATAAAATATTTATTTTCAATAAATGCTGTTCTTTTGAACTCTCTACTCATCAGGGAATATTGAAAAACAAAACATATCATGGTTTCCACATTGATAATAATAAGAAATGTTTCCTGAGCACCCAAGCTTTGCCATCACACACACACATAAAATACATTTTAAAACACAGTCAAATAATAAAACAGTTAGTAGTTTAAATTGTTATAATATTTCACAACTTTACTGTTTTGACCCTATTTTTGATCAAATAAAGCAGCCTTGGTGAACAACAGGGACTTACAAAAACGTAAAAAAAAAATCTTACCGACCCCAAACTTTTAAATAGTAGTGTAAGCCAAGAATAATACTTGAGTATTTACTTGAAACCAAGAGCAGGAGTAGTGAGGAAATATTTAATTTCTGACATGAAAAGAGCACTAAAATGTACTGCAAATAAATATACCAGCTGCTGAGACAATGGCTGACCCATGCAACACTAAGCAAATCAACGCAGGGAAACAAGTGTGCTATTTTGTAACGTAATCCCTGATAATGCTATTAAGCGAGTGCTGTCAGGGGCATGTGCGGCCTTGTGTGGGGAAATAAAATTAACAGCTGCGTTCCCAACAGCGTTTCAGTAAGAAACTCCCAGCTACACCAAAATAAATCCCCTCATAGTGAAACTAATAAGATCAAAAATGTATGTTTTATTTTTTTAAAGATTTTTTTTCATCCAAACTCTAAATCACTCTTGTTGAATAAAGATCTAAGCTCATTTGGCAACAGAAATAAAGCAGCAGGCAATAACATGAATAATATGAATAACATGCCTCCTGGACCATGGAAAATCCAGACACATGCCACGATCCTGTGGATTAATACTAGTTTGAAGTACGAGAAGGTATGAAAAATCTCTGGTTTATATTACGGATTTCATTTTGAGTCTGCAAATATAACCCCTCTATTGATCCCTTGAACATAAAACTGTTCATAAATGTGTGCAGGTCTGTTTTCTGTGTGAAGCAGGAAAGTTTTAATGGATGCACGTCCACTGCTGCCCTACATTCATTATCATGCGCAGTTATCTTGCACCCAAATTTCAGCTCAAACATGTACAACTTGATTTCTTCCATCCCTCACACACACACACACACACACACACACACACACACACACACACTCTCTCTAAAAGAATCTTCACATACACTGTTTTTCATTCAACAGTGATTCAAAATGATCGCTGGCTGTCAAGCTCCAACAAGCGATTGCATCAGAAGATTAGTAAATATAATGCACACATCATTATGGATATTTTTATGATACTTAAATAATGCTTTTTAGTCCTCTTGGTTCTTGTAAGTCTGTGATCATTATGAAATATGGTATGAGAAAAAAAAAAACTGTCACGATTCTTGAACATTCTCCTTTGGTCTGGATAGGGGAAGCAGGTCAAAGGTCAGCATGCAAGCCAACAGTTGTCAGAAAGAAAAGGAGGACAACTCACAGGTCCAACAAATCCAGCCACCATGGTGATGAGCAGGGAGAAGATGGCCACCAGCATACGGGTCTGACAGAACCTCCAGAACACCCGGGACAGAGACGCCGCGTCCTTCCCTCGCCGCTTGAGCTCCTCGTGCCACAGCCACTCCAGTCTGAATGATGCATCGCCAAAGACAGTGTGTTTAAACAACAGTACATCGGCAAGTGTTGTAACATGAAAGACTGGGAAACCTTTTATTAAAGGGATAGTTCACCCAAAAATGAAAATTCTGTCATTAATTACTCACCCTCATGTCATTCCAAACCCATAAGAGCTTCGTTCATCTTCAGAACACAAATTAAGATATTTTTGATGAGATCCGAGATCTTTCTGACCCTGCATAGACAGCAAGGGAACTACTACATTCAAGGCCCAGAAATGTAGTAAGGACATCGTTACAATAGTCCAGTGGTTCAACCGTAATGTTATGAAGCTACGAGGATACTTTTTGTGTGCAAAGGAAACAACAACAACAACTTAATTCAACAGTTCTTGTCTTCCCTGTCACTGTCCGCCCCCATTCACGACAGTACCACGACACATGCGTTTCTGGGCCTTAAACGTTTCAGTTGCGTTGCTGTCTATGCAGGGTCAGAAAGCTCTCGGATTTCATCAAAAATATCTTAACGTGTGTTCTGAAGATGAACAAAGCTCTTACAGGTTTGGAACGACATGAGGGTGAGTAATTAATGACAAAATGAATGACAGAACTATTATGGAAGAAATAAAATACTATGGAAGTCAATGGCTACCAGCAACTGTTACCAACAATCTTCAAAATATCATCTTTGGTGAACAACAGAACAAACACACTCATACAGGTTTGTAACAAGTTAAAGGGGTCATATGATGCGACTTCAAGTTTTCCTTTCTCTTTGCCTACAATAATGTACAGTATTTGAAAAATAATGTGTTTTTTGAACATTAAAGCATGTCAACATATTCTGTTACACCAAATACACAAAATAATGATCTTTAAAAATGCATCATATGACCCCTTTAAGGGTGAAGTAAATGATGACAAACTTTTCATTTTTGGATGAACTATTCCTTTAACTTGAGTTTCAATGGCTGTATTCAAGTGATTTAAGTCTTTTATTTTATTCCTGTTTAAAGTCAAAATTAAAGTCAGCATGAATGAAAACTCACCCTTTCGATTTTCTAAATGCACATTATAGATCTTCTCGTGAAAATCAGATGTTTAATTTTTACATTTCTTTTCTGACTCTGTAATGATTAATCAGAATGTCATAACTGGATCTGTGTTGTTTGCAGGATTTCTCCAGTCATTTAATGCATTTAAATCTGCTCCTGCAAGCTCACCTTCATCTGCATCTGAGTGAAACACCCACATCTCAAAATCCAATCAACAACTGATGCATAGAACCCAGTCTCCACCATATTTTTTTCTCTTTTAATGTGTTACAAGCAAATGTACATCACATTATGGATAAAAAGATCGGTTGCTACTTCCAATTCATTGCAACTTTAAGAAATTAAATTAATACTGGCTAAATTGTTAGACCAAACCAAAATTAAATGTACAATATCACAAATGCTTTTGTCACTTTATTAGACAGCTCTCTGCCATGCTTGATTCTGATTGGTGTTTTTGGGTAATGATGCTGAACTGTATAATTTCCTAATTTCCAATTTCCTACATAGCTGTGTTAGGTTTACAATTCTTGCATCACTCCACTGTTTCTTTCTTCTCACATAATAAAATTACCACAAATCATAATGCATGTCATGCATAAACCCCTTCAGAATGATATAAGATCCCTCTGCTCCTTGTTGGGTTCTGCTTTTTTGCAAGTTGACTGGATATAATCCTTGACCTCACGTCTAAATTAAAAATGTGAGGCATTTATTTAACTGTTAAACTTCTGTATTTTAAACTCAAGGGCACATCATATATTTCAGGTCTTCGGGTAGTAAAACTTGTTTTGGGCACACATTTAGAAGCCAAAACATTGACACGTTTATTATAAATCATAAATGATGTTCAATTTCTCATAAATATTGTAATGCAAAATCTTGAAGCATTCAAGGAAAGCCTCATTGAAAACACTGAAATTCACACTTAGAATGAACAATCAATCTGAAGGACCAAGGCTTTGAGCTTTCAGTTCCCATGCCAAAGACCTACAAAAATAAATAAATAAAATAATCCACTCAGCTTTTATTTCTCACAATGGTACAACACTTTGGTGAACTGTATCTTATTCTTTTTTTTTAATTTCAACAGCCTTGTGTTTTGAAGAAAACACTTTACCTAAGTGTTCCAGACCCCATAAAATATCCACCCCTCACACACACAAGTACACATGCCTTTAACGCATCCGAGCTATATCTCTGACACAAATCCAGTAACGGGAGCCACAGACCCTGAGGTCAAACACTGAAAACTGACACCGCTTCTTACAGAGCCGCTGAGGCATAGCTGTCAGGCAAATACAGGGGCCTATATTTAACACACGATCATTGATTGCAACAAAAGAAAGCACAGTCAAAGTCTGATCCAATTCATCCACCGAATATGGGCAAATCTCTGATCTGTGATTAGAAAGGGCAGTTACAGATTATAGGTGTTTTTCCATGTTCCCGTGTTCCCGAGAAACACTTTGAGCCCTATCAATGAGCCGGCTTAGTCAAAAGGGACACGGGCTGTGATCTGACGTGTTAATGACATAACCGTCCTGCAGGAAAGGTGCAGACTGACTCTCTCTGATGTCTAATCCTTGCTATGAATAACACCCACCTGCCATAACTCTCTGGGCTGTGTGAGCATGGGAGGCAAGCATCTATCATTCATTCCCCACCGTGACTCAAGGGATTCCCACACCAACCTCTTGTTATCAAGATGTCAACTGTGTGAGACTTTGGCACAGGAGGTGTTTTCTAATAGTTCAGTTTGTTCACGGTTCAGCATGGGCACATATGAGAGATGCCTAACTTGTGCTTGGCTCCAGGGTAGGGCTGAACGATTAATCAAAATTAAACCGAAATCACGATTTGGCCTGATGTGATTATTGATTGGCAAAGGCTGCGATTTTTAATTTTAATTCTTGCCTCTGTATAATGCATATTTAAGTAGTGTTTATAGACCTTACAGTATGTGCCAGAGATACAAGCACGCTTCCATCTTTAGAATTTTGTCTTTGAACATTGTAGCACCGCTGTTGAAGAGTAATGAGCTGGTGAAGTGGATTTACTTATTGTAGAGTTTTAACGAAAGTTATCATGAGCATTGTAATGTTCGACGCGGCTGTCATAACAAATGTCAGTAGACCTGGAAGATTTTAAAACGAGTGGTTCATTCATAAATTTGCACGATCTTAAATTCACGCTGTGGATATACAAACGGAAGACAGAAGACAACGAGTGCAGCGCTGAAAAGGGGCGGAGCTACATACCCTGATAGCACACATACATCACGGAGACGTCTATTTGACGTCTGCATTTACATCTGCAAGACGTATTTTTTAGAGTGTTTGCATATCTGTGATACGTCTATAGGACGTTTCCTATCAGATGTCAAATAGACGTTTAGAAGATGTCTTTAAGATGTTTATGATTTAGAATGCATGTAAAACTGACGTCTATCCGATATTTGTACACAGCAGATGCTTTCCAGATGAAGCGATCTTTAACAGACATCTTGCAGACGTACCTGTGCTATCTGGGTAAGGTCTATAACGTGCATCTGAAAAGGCAACACGCGCCAAACATCCTCCCAAACTAATGAGATGCGTTTATGAACCTGTTGTCCAACAAAAGAGAATATTTAATAACATGGTTTTACTCCACAGCGTCAAGCAAGAGTTTGAAATAACTTCATTTTCTGATCTGACGTGGCTTCTTATCACAGAATGAGCAGAAATTATATTCTATACTGTAATAAAGGCTATGTCGATTAGCCGCACTGGATTATAGATTTACTTTATAATTATGAAAATACCCAAGATGGCTTGAGGAACACAGATAAACCCTATATTGTGTGTTTACTGGCTTCATGTTTAGTCAGTTCAAGCGTTTCTATCTTCTTTTTATTCTGCAGCCATGGCTAGATAACTTTGTCCATATTAGGGATTTCCTGGAATGTCATGAGTTCTATTACTTCTGTGATGCATATTGGGAGTTTCCGCACGAGGGCGCCCTCTGGAATGCAGTATTAATTAAACAGGTAGCCTATTACATGTGTTTAGTGCTCATTAATGCACACTCAGTTCTATTTTGCCCAAATTTTCCCCAAATCGCGCAGCCCTACTTCCGGGTATTTGCATTCAGACAAACACAGCTTGACAGTAGACAAACCTTGATGACGGATCGGAAGGTTTGCACCAGTAGCTCACCTTTGGCAGTTCGTTTCTGAGGCCTCGTGGCAAGACAGACCCCACATGTCTTCAATCTTGAGACAGGATGCTTTGTGGGCCCTCCATGCCAGAGGGGACAGCCACTGCAGGGTCATGAAGGAAAAAAATCCTGCATTGTCCACCGGGTGCTGATGTCTGGGGGTGAAAATGGAAGAGTTTGGCTCCTATCAGTCATCTAGGCACTATGTGCTATGTCTGAGAACGGCGTGACCTTGAACGCGAGAGAAAATCTTTACTCGCTGCGGCCAAACAGTAGATGAATCACACGTTTGTGTTTGAACAGCAGTTTGCACGTCCCTCTCAGAACTCTTACGAAGCAGTGAGAAAGTTCAGCGGCTTTTTATCAGCCAGCATGTTAAAAATCGAGCCGTCTGTGAGAAAAGGATAAGAGCGTTCTTATCAGGACCTCTGTCACTTGAGTCCAAATGGCAACGAAGCAAACATCTCGTAAGGCCTGTTTCACACCTCACACAAAAGTGTTTCTGTGCATATGTTTGTTTTGGCTCCATATTAACCGGTTTCACGCTGTCTGTGTAAGCAGTGTGGTAGAGGTGTAATATAAGTTACGTTTTTCCACATTGAACTTAGCAGAAAAAGTTGAAAATGCACTATAAATTTATTTTATCAACACAAGCTTTTACAATATAGGCTTATATGATGCAACTGCGTGAACTCATTGTTAAAAATGACGCCTATCATGTTTAATGTGGGTTAAATGTGCAGTGATGCACATAAACTATTTTTATTTAATTAAGTGACAGATTCAGATGATAAAAGCAGCTTGTAGCATCATTTTGACGTTTGGGTTCAGTCAGGTCAAGTCACCTTTATTTGTATAGCGCTTTATACAACACTGGTTATGTCAAAGCAACTTTACACTGTCAAACAGGAAAATAGTTTGTGCATGATGCAAGAAGACAATAACAAAGAATCATTTTTTCCAGCTAAAATCAGTTCATTGATGATTCACTGTAGATTAATTATTATTTGGAAGTAAATGTGTCTCCTGATAATCTCCTCATAACCACTTCACAATTTATGGCAGTTATTAAAGAAATATCCAAAGTAGTAACTTAGAAATTACTTTATTTTCTTTATTTTAAGTACTTATTTTCTCCTGTTGTAGTTCGTGAAATTTAGGTTTGAAACATTCAAAGGAGGTTGACATGACAAGCAATTTTATTGTCCTCAAAGAAAGAGGTCATTATTATTATTATTATTTGTTTCCTTTCAGATAATTTGGCTGGACAGCAAAGAACACAGATTTTGCCCATAAACATAAATATCTATTCAAATATTGTTGAATGTGAAAATTGTTCTGTGGCATGACTGTCATTATGAACTACAAAATAAATGTATCTAATCTAGAAATACAAAAATCTATGAAAATAAACAGTTCAGACAAAAATACTGTTTATATTGGCATTAGCTAATCAGGAATGACTGGTCATGAACTTCAAAAATGTTATATAATACATAAAATAATATATAACAATATATACTTCGTGTGTGTGTGTGTGTGTGTTATTTTATTAAGTCCTGCCAAGTGATTCTTCCACATTTTAAGCATTAAAATAAGCTTTATGTATTTGTGCATATGTGACTTTAACTGTTGGAAACGATGTGTCGATTCATACCTTGGTGTGACGTTCTGTACACCAGCAAGACTGATTTTAAACAGCATTTGCTAATTATTTTATAATTATTATACATGCAGTGTTTATGAGCTCAAATTAATTGAGAGACAAACAAATTCATTTTTCACACATTTAAATGAACAAGTGAGGGGAAAAGATCAAATAAAAATGGTAACCTGTCACATCCCCTAAAATATACACATATTTTTCACAAAATATGGATTTTATTCTTAAATCCATTTGGTAGCTACCCACATATTAATTTTATATGGTTATAACAACTGTATCCAAGAGAACTTACTTGTGCGTGATCCGAAAGGGCTTGAGTATCTGTAAGCTATGGCGATATCTGCCTCGTCTTTTTGTTTCGGAGCCCAGTTCCACCTCATCATCGGGGTCTGGGAGAGTCTGGGGAGGGGACAGCGTCAACCCCTCCACCCGTCCTACGGCCTCCAAAGCATCTGAGAACATACCTACCTCTAACAAACAAACACGAACAGAAAAACACTCAACAACACTCCAAAAGCTAGAAAACACTTTCAGACACTTGGGATGAGTTCCCATCCATGCTCATGACAACCAGCACTGGGAATGTCTGAATCTGCTGACTAATATTAGTGCAGTGACACAAACCTTCCTCTAACGCTATGGCTTTGGCTACAAATTTGAAGTGTTTATCTATTTAAAGACGCCTGCGGGTGGCCTCAAGGCTCGTGGATACTGAGACGAAGGATATTCGAGCTGGCCGTGTGTGTGTTGACCCTGTCACTGATCCATCTGTGGCATAAGACACGATAAGGTAAATCCAGCAACACTGGGACTCTCTGTATCTGCTCGGTGTACGTCACCGGCGACTGCCAGATAATGAAAGATAAGCACATTATTTACACTAAGAAAGAGCCTGCGTTCGATAAAAATCCCTAATGCAATAGGAGACTATGAATGTAAACAAGGATAATGGGAACGCTTTGAAATTTTAAAGGGCTAGGCCCTAATTCACACAGAAATGAGCATTCTGTCATTATTAGTCTTTCGAAACCGGTGTGACTTTATTTCAGACTTTTAAGGAACTGATCTTGCTATTCATGCAATTATAAAGAACGGAGATTGAGGCTTCCGAGCGTTGTAAAGCACACAAGCACCATAAACGTATCACAAAAAGTTCTGAAGCCATATGATTGTGATGATTATGACACTGAAATTTAGGTCATTATTCACTGAAAATTGACTCTATAGCTCTCCTTGGAGTATTTATGATAGTTCATGAGAGAACGGCTTGACATGGGCCATTTTTGTTGATCAGGAATATATAGTCATGCGTAACACTTTACAGTAAGGTTCCATTAGTTAATGTATTAACTAACATGAACAAACAATGAACAATCTGTGTTAATGTTAGTCGTTCATGTTAATGCACAGTGCATTAACTAATGTTAACAAGCACAGCTTTTAATTTTAATAATGCATAGTAAATGTCGACATTAACATGAACTATGATTAATAAATGCTGTAGAAGTATTGTTCATTCTTAGTTCGTGTTAACTAAAGACTAATGTTAACTAATGGACCTTATTGTAAAGTGTTGCCTAGTCATGTTTTTCTTTATTTATAAAGAAGCAGTGTGTAGTTAGCAAGGTAATAAGGTGTAGATTTTCTAAACCGATCAAGAAAAAAGCAGCCCTGGTATCGATTTGACATCAGTATCGGCAGATACTCCAAAACTGTACTGAGCAGTACAGCTCACACAAATGCTCTGAATGTTTCATTCATGAATCAGACTAATCCGGTTCTCCACTTAATGACTAAATCATCTAATGTTAGTCAGATTTGGAACAACATTTTCATTTTTAGGTAACGTTCCATACATGACCCCATTTCAATAGGCACACAATCAGCCGAGTAGGATATAAAAAAATGTAAAAAAAATGTTGGGCTTATAAAAGGAGCATCGTTCATGTTTACCTTCAGTTTCAGACTACTATGAATATTTATCCATTTGCACACAACTTGAAGGAAAAGCGAAGACAAAATAAGATCCTCTGCTACCACCATTGTGCCCAGGCTCGAAAACATACTGTATAACAACTGTAAGTGTCTGCTACCTTTAATAATTAAAAATAGTTGAATAAGAAATCAGTTTATGCTGATTTGTGCATTACACTTGCTCACTGTTCCTGATCCGGCCAGCTAGAACTGTGTGTTCCCTGCCATTTCTGGAGATGTCCTCCATTGGGATCCTCATACTGGACATTTTATGGATTATTAGAACTACCTTTATCTCAAATGAGCATTACATGATGTTATTAAATAATGAACATGAATATTGACTTTCCACTATTTAAGGTGTATGTAGTGTAAAAGCAACACAAAACAGAAAGTTTATACATATATACATATATATATATATAAAAAGAAAAAGTTGGAGCGTGAAGAAGGTCACTTACATATCAAACACCCTCTTTCCTATCAGCTTCAGGATGTTCCCACAGGTTATTAAATGATTTATTCAGAAAGCCAGCGCTCTCTGGGTCCCTCGCTGCACATGACACATGCACTTAAACAGCATGCAACGTTACTCTGATCCGGCGCAAAAGTTTCACCGCGTTAAAAAGCGGCGCAGCGGAGAGTTTGACGCCCCGCTCAACCCGGGCGGCGTTTTGAAGCGCGCCACGGCACAGCTGACGGAATTCCCTAAATGCATCGTGCGTCACACCTGAGCAGCCAATCGCGGATTTGCTTGACCGTCGCTACGGTAAGCGGACCTGGAGGGGAAGGAAAGGGCACGTGGTGATCTTTGCAACAGCGCGCAGACAGATTAGCAGACTATTTTGGGCCGCTCCGCTCCGGTCATCTGAAGAGCATTGCTGCATATGGAATAAGACGAGTGGTCTGAAAAGAGACACTTATTATTTTTTAATAGTAGCAGTTGCAGAACTCATATGTTCTGAAAAAGTGACGCAGAGCACGCAGTGTGACGAAATGCTCCGCGTTCCCCTGAATTTTTAATGTTCCTGATAAATAATGTTACGTAATGATAAGTCTTTTGCACAGATTTTCATTATTGCAACTTTAAATCAAACACTGAAACCCGGCCGGTGTCTTTCCGTTCATTTAGATTACGTTTAATGGGCATATTTTTCATCACTGAGTAATAAAGTAAATTATTTTTTTCCCTTTATTATTATTACTGTTTTATTTAGTTCCATCACATACAAGTACAAGGCAATGTTGTACAGTTTAAAGCATGTAGAACAGAACAACAACAACATAAAATGAACATAAACATAGTTTAAAAAGTAGTGCTGTCAAACGATTAATCGCATCCAAAATAAAAGTTTTTGTTTGCATGAGCCCAGACCTGGTTCTCTGGTCTAACTCCAGTAGGATCGTCATAATAGTTGAACTGACAGTCCTTTGGGGAGAGGCCATTAACGAGGCCTTTGAAAGGAAGAAGCTGTGATATGCCAACTTGCAGCTGAGGCAGAGGAGCGGGGCGGGACGGTGAAAGTATACCCGGGGGAAGTGGGCTGCAGGGGCTTTGTGGCTAGTTCCACTGTAAGGCCACTGAAGGAGTTGGGCATCAGAGGACAGGTCCAGTGGAGGATAGTCAGGGAACTGGCCACTGTTGCTGAAAGGACACAGTGTGGGCTGCCAAATGACCATGTAAGAAAGTGACACACACCCGGGTCTGATCAGCCTGTGGTGGGCCTGCCTCAGCTGAGGGTGTCTTGTGATAAAGGGCCGAAACACCCAATGAGGCTGGGGTACACAACTGATGATCTGTTGCTTTGGTGGAAACAGCATACAAAGGTCATTGGCAACATCACCTCAACAAAAGGCATCTTTCACCCAGGCTAAAGTTCGCACAGAAACTGGGATCTGATGGACATCGGTTAAAGTGTCTCACTGGCAACATCCATGAAAGATAAGATACAGCATAACATATCATCAAAACATCAAGGATCCTGGATTCTTGCTGAACCAAAATCAGAGCGTAACAATTGCTGCGTCTCACTGTGTTCTGCTCACAGCGAAGGAGAAAATGTTCTATGTGGTGCTGAATATTGGGATCATAACACCTAGTCCTATCATGCAAACTGTGTGTGTACTGTGTATATTTATTATGTATATATAAATATACACACACACGCACGCACGCACGCACGCACGCACACACACACGTATATATTTAAGAAAAATATGTTGTTTATATATTAAATATATTTATATATAATATAAATTGAAAAATCTGAATATAAATATACACATACACAAAATATATACATGCATGTGTGTTTTTATATATACATAATAAATATACACAGCACACACACATATATTATGTAAACAAAAACTTATATTTTGGATGTGATTAATCGTGATTAATCGTTTGACAGCACTAAAAAAAATAAAAAATACCAGGATAAAAAAAGTGCTATATAATATTAGATCAGTTACATAAATCTGAAAAGCTTTATAATTTTTATTGTTTTTATAAGCTTCTCATTTTGTGATCTCATTTTAGAAAGGGTTTCAAAATATATTTTAAGATCAATGTTACAAAATGTAATACATGATGTTTTTTTTATTATTTTTGACTTATGAATATAAAACGTTGCTAAAATAATTAACATTAATAATGTAATTTTGTTTTTCAGAAAAATATGGGTTTTTGAAAACAAACTAAAATATCATGAGGTTTCTAAATAAAGGCCTTTGTTTAATTTTGTTTTGTTTTGTCCACAAATATGGCTTATCATCTGAAATAGCGATGTAAGTATTAATACTGCTAATTAGCAACTTTACATGGCCACTCAATCTAAGGTTAACCCAGAGAAATGTGCGCTATATTCAAGTGTCTGTGTGGAAGCTGAACATTAGCGCTCACTGAAGGACAGATGGAGGCGCCGGTGCGCTCACTTGCTCTTAAAATAGGCTACTCCGTAATTTTTTGGTCATACAGATAAGAGTAATACATCTTTCAAATCTGTAAAGACTATGTTTATTTATGTGCACTCACAATAACAACAAAACGCGCTTTTGTAAAATAATGAAAGCAAACAGGATGCGCTTTCTGCCGTCTCGGTCTCTGTGAATTCGAGTGCGAAACTCCGTGTAGGCTATATCTTTGCCTTACAGACTTCAGAGCCCGGTCTCATGAAAATGCGTCTAAATCAGTGACCTCTGTAGTAGCAGAGGCTCCAAATAAATCCAATGACCTAAAGAGTGTCTCTGCTTGCCTTGGAGGAAATATTTCTGGGCTCGAGCTGCCAAAGGTTGAGCCTGGTCTCATGAAAATGCTTATAAATAGTACACCAAATAAAAACGAAAACTCGTGGTATTGATATGCAAAATGGACTTTGGCGTGCATATGATACCCATGTGTTTGGCGTGCATATAATACGCAGTTTTCGCGTGCATATGAGACTTCATCTCTTAAACCAAAACAAAGAAAGCACTTGTTTATCAGTGAATTATTAAAATGTTAATGCAGCCTCCTTTCTGTTTTTCCCTGACACATTCATAATCATAGCTTCTGCCAGTGCGCTGTGGCAAGCTTTATGCGTGCGCTTGAGCACTTATTAGGCTTTGTAGGCAATTAAAGACTCATTATAATGATTTAAATGGTTTATTAATAAACGTGCGATTAGTCGCCTAATGCTTAAAATGAACGACTACTAGTCTACCAGAAAAATCCTTAGTCGAGGACAGCCCTACTACACGCACACATACACACACATACACACACACGCACATACACACACACACATACATATATACATATATATATATATATATATATATATTGTTTGATAGTTATATATAGCTGATAACTTATTCTGCACGCACAGTTATCATCAGGTTCCTCCAGAATTTTATATATTTATTTAAAATCAAAAGTTGTTCTTTTAGAGTTTCAGAGAAACTTGGGATTTATTATTTCAATATTTCACTTAAAATGAACGACTACTAGTCGACCAGAAAAATCCTTAGTCGAGGGCAACCCTACTATATATTTTTGTGTCAGTAGGCTAATGGCACATTTGAGCAGCATTAGTAAACTGTAAATATAAAGAAATGCCAAATCACATGCAGGTTTTTTCAGACCGGAGACCATAATCGTGTAATAATTCATTTTATTATGATATGAAACATCCATTTTTTCTTTCAATAATGTTTTTTAAAGTTTTGCAAGAATGTCGTGATAAACTTTTTATTAGTTGTCATAGCAAGTGATTTTACAAGTAGGATGGCTCACTTTTTATAAGATGACTGAATTTGACTTGAATTCGTAGTTTATTCTTACTTTTGGAAACCTAATTGTTTTATAATTACTACAACTATTATTATTTCTGTTGTTTCTAGAAGTAGTAATTTTGATAATAGTCAATAGTAAAAATATAACCACACACACATGGTTTGACCACAGAATAATTACACATTAAATAAAAAGCGTCCCGCACGAACCTCTACCTCTGCTCTACCTTTTTCTTTGTGCTCGTCATTCTCAAGCATAGAAAGTCGGATATTGGCGTGTGCTCGCACAATTTCAAGATCATTTACGATTTATAAATGTCACATCTGGAAGAGAGGCGTACGCACGTTCGTTTTCTCTGAATCGCACTTATGAGAAAATTTAGGACGGTTTATACACAACATTTTATAAATGAGGCCCCAGGTCCTGCACGGGGACCCACGGGTCTCTTTTAATGAACACACCTGATTCAGATCATCAGCTCATCAGCAGGGAGCTCCATCAGCTGAGGGTTTCAGATCATACAGTGCAGAATGTGCAGGAGCAGGACTGAAAGCCACTGACCTACAGAGTCACAAGACACGGTTGCAAAGGTGAGTTTGAATGAACTCATGGTAGGGTCACCGCCTTAGTCCTGTAAAAGTCCTTGTTTTGCCAGATGAGCAGAAATCAGGATAGTACCTGCAAATCTGGAATGAGTGGCAACCCTGCAGTGCAAGAGAAACAGCTGCAACATTTAAATCAAAAACCAGGAAAACTAAATCAGGGAAATGTTTTTCAGATTTGGAAAAGTCATGGAGATTTCAATGCTCTAAAATATTCCATATACTAATCATGTGCAGAGTTTATTTAGCGTAAGCATGCTTTCAATTCAAAAAGATGTTTCCTCAGATATTGTTTCAATGAATTGGTCCAAATTATGCACAAATTGTGGTCTGAATGATTCATTGCCAAATTGGTCTATATTAATATTATTATTATTTTAATTTAAATCAAAAGTGTGAGGACCTGAGAAAGAAAAAAAAGTTGAATTTGCGTAATCTATATTTTGTTTTTGGGCTTTGTGTGAATTCCACAAAACTTGCGTCACATTTCAGCCCAATGTCAAAATAATTCTGTATGAAGGATTTGTAGCATTTTTATTTTCACAATTTTACCTCCGAACTGACAAATAATATCAAATATTTCACAATTTGAATTGACTTTTTTTCTGCATAACAATCCTGAAAAATTATTTTGTCATGAAAACTACTTAACGACAAGTGTTTAGTGATAGAAATAGGATTCACAGATAAATAAATACATATAAAGTATGTATACAGTGATGGGAAGATTACTTGCAAACTGTTACTGATTACAAATTACATGATGAAAATTGTAGTTAGTAACGTAATCGATTAGATTAGTCATTTTAGGTCATGTATTCTGACTACTTTTTGATTACTTTTGACCTAACTTGTTTATCCCATAGATTTAAATGGGATTATTATGTACCATATTGATGATAATAATAATAATAATAATAAAACACATTCCATTCTTTATCAATAACATGAAGTGCATTAAACATCATGTTACATCAGGGTTTCCCAGACTGGGGTAGAGAGAAAAAAAAAGACGAATTAGGGAGAATCAATAAATTATGAATAATTTACTGCCTTTGTGTGGCTATGTAATTATGTAATCCATAACAAAGTAACTGTAATCTGATTACGAGCATTTTAATGTAATATATTCTAAGCACTTAATTTTTGGAATCTGATTACGTAATCCAGATTACATGTAATCCGTTACTACACAGCTCCTTTTCTGTACTGCATATGGAGAGCTCAGTTTTTCTTTGGTTAAGGAGAGTCATGTATTTAAGGCCACTCACTCACCTTAATGTAGTTATGAAGCTTGTCCGCTGCTGTCTGTTAGCCTGCTGAGAGTCTTACATTAACAGCCCAGAAATCACTTAGATGTTTCACTTTCCTGAGCTGGGAAATCTGCTGAACGCAGGCAATCGATGAAGTGCATCCAAAGCTCCCTATCAGTTTCCATGAGGCTTCACAAGACATACGTCTACAGCAACACACCGTTTCGAGACATGGATGGATACACTGATGAACAGCCAAATGACCTTAACTGATGCCTGAGTGGAAGTTCATTAAATGTTATCAAACATAAAACACCAACACGTCAAAAGTAAGTGAAACTGGCCTTGTGCAAAATCACAAAAACAATGCAGGATCTCCAGCAGCGCGTTTCAAGCCTGTTTCACACCGCAGGCGTAAGCAGCACATATTTATTTCGGTGCCAATATTAGAATTGTTCATTATCACCATCTTTACCTCTTTCTCAGTGAGAGCAGGCCACAGAGAGAAGCGTCATTACAATGCGAGTCCAGGAGCGCCGTCCTCTCTGACCTGCGGTGCATCCCATCGCCCCGGCAGCACGAGGTCAGAGAGAATAGAGGACCAGTGCCATCCCACACTCCATAAGATAGACTAAAGCCTTTATCTGTCTATTCCCAGCACAGGGTGGCCGGGCCACAGCCGCTATCAACAGAGAGCCTGAAATATGCCTCAGAATGAAATCCAGTCTCAGCTCTGTCTCAAAATAGATTTCTCTTTCTTGTCTTTCACCCCTTGTTGTACACGGCACTGAAAAGATTGTCTGGGAAATACAGTATAACTCACACCAGGGCTGGACCGATTCGAGCACGCGTTTCCGTTCAGCAGCATGTTCAGAGAAGATAATGGCAAAGGTTAATATTGCAGTAGGAAGTATTTTCTGTGTTCTGGTTCAATCTAATTTAAGCTGTACACATAATCTGTGGCATGCTGCTGTTGATTACCACTTAAAATCATTTAGACTTGTCCCTAAGTTGGTAAAAATAAGCAAATGTTGTTTTCCGTCATGCACTTTTACAGTGAAAGTCTGCAGCCACAATACTTATAAACATGATAGAGAGAGAGAAGAAAAAAACAAAACAATGTGGCAAGTTCTTAGAAATGTACTATATGTTTTCGTATTTCGTTTTTATACCAAACTTTTATTCCATTTTCAAGATTTTTGTATTTTTATATCGGTGTATGTTATGTATGTATATTTAAATATGTAATGTCTCACTTAATGATATCATGTGGTGTAACCAAGTAAAACAAATGTTCCTTACACCTCAAATGCCTCAAATATGATGTGATCTTAATTATTATTATTTTTTTAAATCATTTAAAATTTTTTGTCAAGATTTATTTTTACAAATATCATGAATTATTACTTCATTAATGTCACAAAAGTGGCAAGTTTTTAGAAAGTGCTATTTGTATTCATAAATATATATATATATATATATATATATATACACACACACACATACACAATTTTTTTTCACGGTTTTGAAAATATTTATACCAAACTTTTATACCATTTAAAAAAAAAAAAAATATATATATCAAAATACTTTTTTTTTTTTACATTTAATTACTTAATTACGAATATCATGTGGTGTAACCAAGTAAAACATTTTCCTTACACCTCAAATGCATTAAATAAAGTGTGATTGTACACTTTAATTATTATAAACATTATTATTATTATAAAAATGGTTGTATTATAAATAGTATTATTATAAAAAATGGTTGTATTATAAATAGTATTAATATAAAAAATAATGATTTATGTTCATTTTTACAAATATCTTGATTTTTCATTAATAAATTCCACAAAGTAGGTAACATCCTTAAATAAAAGGTCAAATTATCTGATATTTTAAGAGACTTACTGACCTTGGCATGCAGTCATGAGGGTCTGAATGATTTTTTAATATATTAAAAAGCAGTTTAAAATTTTTTTTATTAAAAAAAAACTACTTCACTACTTTTACCTTATTACTTAATTCTTCTAATGAGGCTTTTGTCTTCATCATGACACTGAGTTTAGAGGTGTAGTCATCATATGCCTGTTCATTGCTGTTTTAAACCTCTAGAATGTGCCATAAACTTCACTGTAAGTGCATTACTGCAAACACAATTTTCGTTTGACATGTTTGACATATTTAACTGAGGAACGAGTCGGCATTAGTGTCAACGTCAATAAAGCTTAACTTGTTTTGAAGTCAAAAGACTCATTTACAGATTCAGACAGAGTGCATCTGCAAACAGTTGGAGAAGGACGACGATTGACTGGAGGTGAACTTTATAAGCAGCCCTTTAAATCATTGCTAATGGCCAGTCACTCAAGTGTAAAGTGGCCGCTCTCGAGCCGTCACAGACAATTTCGTCTTCGCATATCCTTAAGATCTTTATTGGGCGGTGCGGTCACAAATCAAATCTCATTAAGCAAAGGCCTCGCTCATTTAGATTTAATAAATGTGACTTAAGAGCAACACTGTTACACAAAGTTAACTAAGTCACCATGACTTCCTCATTATGACATGCATGCTAAAACACGACTGCATTTGAACGGTTTCGAAGTTTTTGTCGAAGTGACATGCAGCAGGTTTCATGGGTGGCAGAACAAACAAGACTGAACTTTTGTTCGCTCATAAATATGCAGCGCTACAGCTTTAGACCTGCTGTTGCACTCTTTATGAAATTATTTGTGCATCACCTCTACAGCAAGCCTAGTGCTCGAGTGAGGAAACATGAGTAAAAGTGCGATGCTAACTAATTAATAGAGTTGCAACTGGAATATAGTCTGTTTTACATGCTGTTAGTGCGAGATGACAGGCTTTTTGTAAAACACTGGTGGAAAACTAGCCACTTCAGTTCATTATTTTGAGGAGAGTGTTCTGATGTTCTGCTTTGTTCAAAGACTTCGTGAAACAGCTGATGACAAACAAGATCTATTTAGAGGCACGCAGCTCGCTTTTCCCAGTAAACACGAGGAAATAAATCTTTAGAACATGAGATTTAAACAAAACCGATGTTAAGTCAGAGGAAAAACAAGTCGCTTTTGGGAGCGTCAGTCGGAACACGGAAACAAAGCAGCACTTTGTTGAAAACGAAGTTATTTTCATGTTTAAAAATAGTTGTGAACTCACTCAATCTATTTCTCCATTTGTTTTTGAAAGGTCAGCGGCGTAATGAAGATGAGTGTGACAGTAGTTCATCACTCAAAGGTATCACGAACGCTGACATTTCAAATCAAACACATCAGGACCTCAGATTACATTATGTAAAAGGCCAAGGGCAAATTACATCACTGCAAGCACTTGATTTTTAATTCTAACACACACACAAAAAAAAAACTGTGAAGTGCAGTTATTACCTTAAGCTCCATTATTACTTTAAGTGGTGACCTTTGAGCCTTACCTATAATTCTAAATAACAGTCCAGTTTATATGTCATAGTGTTTATATGTTATGACAAAATAAAGTCAACATGACCGATGAAAGTGGCAAAGTGAAATATTTACAGTTGCATTCTGTTGCAGTGGACAGATGCGTAAAAACATTGTTTTGAGAAAAACAAATATTATATTGTTGTTTTAAAGTATTTTCTTTCCCCTTTTTGATTTAATAATTAATTTAGAATATTACAAAGATTTATTTTTCAAATAAATTTTTTTTCTTTTGAACATTCTATTCATCAAAGGATCCTGAAATCAGCTTTTAAGAATGATTTCTGAAGATCATGTGACACTTAAGACTGGAGTAATGATGCTGAAAATTCACCTTCGCATCACAAGAATAAATTACATTTTAAAATGTTAAAATAGGAAATGGTTATTTTAAATTGTAATAATATTTCACAATTGTACTGTTTTTGAAACAATAAATGCAGCCTTGGTGAGCAGAAGCGACTAAAAAAAAATCAAATTAAATATCTTACTGCCCCCAAACTTTTGAACAGTATTGTATAAATATTATGAAATATTATTATCATGTTGTTCCAAACCTGAATGAGTTTCTTTCTTCTGTTGAACACAAAATAATATATTTTGAAGAATGTTGGAAACCAAACAGTTGACGGTAGCCATAATATTTTTTTTCCATACTATGCAAATTCATACAGGTTTGAAACCATTTGAGGGCGAGTAAAGAGTGGCAGAATTTTCATGTTTGGGTGAACTATCCCTTTAAAACACCAAAATAGATATGAAATAACCAGCACTTTTTATTCGGACAGTTATATAGCATAGTTCAAGCTAATCAGCGGTTCCTGAAAGTTGATGTCTGCTTGAACTGATCTCTTAATACCCTGTCTTATCACACATTACTGAAATCTGCTCTCCAGAAGGCACTGTGGTGTCTCTCGTTCTGTCCAGAAGGGGGAGCTCATGGTCCTCTGTACTCCATGTATTGGCTCTGCTCTATTATCCGTAAGCATTATTATGGAAGTGGCGACCCTCTGTAACCTCCACGGGTTCCTCCTTAACCAGATGGACACGTTCAGTCATACGCTCTGACTGCCGCGGAGTAATGAGGAGCTTTCAACATTCGCTCTCCTTACGAGCCAATCACCTCCCTCTCATCCCATCGCTCAAGGGAGTCGCTCTTTGTAATTGCCTGGATTCACTTTGACTGGAGGAAGTCAGGTAAAAGTGAATTAATTAGCCAAAGCATCAAGATACGGCCCCCCAAAAAGAGATCCACGGAAGCTGGATCACTCCATATCCAATTACTCCCAAGAATGTGAGGAGCACGGCATTCAGGGGATTATGGATTATGACCCTCGGGTGTTTGCGCTTTGACATCGCTGCCCTTTGGATTCAGAGCCGCTCTGCTCTTTAGGAGAGCTCAAAAACAAGGCCAGGTGCTGAAGGACACTCCAGCCTCCAGAGGAAGAAACACGTGGGCTCTGCTTCAATCCACGCAGAATTGAATTCACGACTCTGTGGTGTTGCATGAAGAAGGCAGCAGAATGAGAAACATCTCCAGGGCTCCACAGAGAGATCTAATTAGTCTGTTTAGGGTCTTGTGGGATGTTCAGAACATCTGAAAAAATGGAGGATTCCATAAAGTCTACCGGGGAACAGAAGTACATAAAAAGCACAGCAGCACAAAATAATGGTATTCCAGAGAATATCTGTGCTTGTCGATGTGAAAACCACAGCCATTTGTCAAAAGCAGGCTGAATGACAGTGATAGAGTCCACATAAATGCCAGTGAACTGATGCACACGGCTCTCCGGCTAAGTGCTCTGATGGAACGGCTGGAGCTTCCCAAAAATAGAGGAACGAGGAAAGGAAAATAGGACACGTACGCTTGCCGCATGACCTTTCCCTGCCCCTGCATCTGTGCATGTGTTGTTTGCCTCGTCCAAGTTCAAAAACCTCTAAACCGGTAAAAGCTGGATGAGAGTGAGCTGACGAACATATTCTTGAAGAGGGACTTGAGGTTCGCTTTTAATGGAACTGATGCATTTAAAGGAATATTCTGGGTTCAGCATATCTTGAAGCCAATCTGCTAAAATGGCAGGTTGTGGAATGAGCCACTTTATGATGTAATAGTGTGGCTAAACACTGCCTCCGGTGAAGATGATCAACGCCTGCTTCTACATCACTGCCTGTTTAGCCCCGCTCACGATTTGCGCATATAGTGTAAATAATGAGAGAGGCAAACACAGGTCTACGCAGAAACCAAACGATAAAGATGCTCCGCTGTTCAGTGCCAAGCTATTGCCTTCCTTCTGATCTCAACATTAGGAAAGAGTGGATAAACTTTATTTGTAATGGAGTTCCAGACCGCGTCAGTAAGAACTTGGTCCTTTGTTCGCTTCATTTTAGCACGGATTCGTTTACAAACGGCACAATTCGATGCAGGGTTTTCAGAAAGATTGAAACTAAAAGACAATGCCGTGCTGAATATATTGGATCTGACAGTATTGTCGCACCACACAAGTGTGAGTGATCGTTTTTATTATGTGGTCACTATTGCTTTGTCTGTTATTACAGGTTGTTTGATACGTACTGAGTATTTCTGCGTTTTTAACCTAAATCACAGCAGCGTCCGTCTGTGAAGGCTGTCAAACACACACAACTGTTAGTTAATCACAGCAGTGGCGTTTACTTCCGAGTCTACAGTCCACCACATCTATTCAAACAGAGCGTTCTGATGAGGGGCTCGAAACAGGACAGAAAATAGCCTATTACTTATAAATTATGATGGTTTTAGATGTAAATATCTTGATAACATTATAAGTAGACCTCAGAGAACAGTACACAAAATAAAAAAAAGGCAGTTCATGACCCCTTTAAAGAAGTCTCTTATTTTAATCAAAGCAGTATTTATTTGATCAAACAAACAGTAATAATGTGAAATATTATTGCAATTTCAAATAAAGGTTTTCTATTTTAATATACTTTAAAATGTAATTTATTCCTGTGATCAAAGCTGTATTTTCAGCATCATTACTCCAGTCTTCAGTGTCACATGATCCTTCAGAAATCATTCTAATATGCTGATTTATTATCAGTGTTGGAAACTGTTCTGCTGCTAAATTAAAAAAAAAATGTTTGGAACCTGATAAATTTTTTTCAGGAATAAAAATTTGGAAAAAAAAAGACAGCATTTATTTAAAATATAAATATTTTGTAATAATATACACTACTGTTCAAAAGTTTGGGGTCAGTAATTTTTTTTTTGAAAGAAATTTATAATTTTATTCATCATTAAATTATATATAGAATTTCTTTTTAAAAACAAAATTTGTGTTACAGTAACAGTGGAAGTAAATAGGGCCAATCTGAAATATATTTAAATTCACAACTAATGTTGCCATGAAAACACACACACACACACACGTCTGGTTCACTATCCTTGTAGGGACTCTCCATAGGCGTAATGGTTTTTCATACTGTACAAACTGTATTTTCTATCTCCCTACACCAACCCTACACCTAAACCTCACAGAAAACTTTCTGCATTACACACACACACACACACACACTCACTCACTCACTCACACACACTTTTTAACAACCTTAAAACATGAAAACTTTAAAGCTCACGTAATCCAACATTTTAACATAATTATTAATATAGGTGATTTATAAAATTATCAGCTTTACATTTTTGCTTTTAAATCCTCCAAAAATGGGCCCCAATCACTTCCATTGTAAATTCCTCACCAAAATTCTGATTTGTATTTCTTAATTAATTTCAGAAAATGGGACGAGTTAAAAACACATTTTAGTGGTATTCCACAAATGTTGTTGATTAAAGTTATATTAAGCTGGAATGATGGGACATTTAAACAGCACGCATGGGACAAAAAACAGACCATTGAAATATTCATATTTAAGAGACAGAATCCTCTTTGTAAAAATGCTCTACTTGTTCAGGCTCTCTTCACTTATATTTCAGTCCATCTGGAGTGTCAATATTAAAAATGCATGGCAAAAAGAAATAATGAATTAAGGCTTGTTCGACGATGGAAGAAACAATCATTAGCCATTATTAATTCATGTTTGAGAGGCCAAATGTCTGACAAGCATTTGAAACAAATTTTTCATACACATGGCCTAAGAAAATGGAAAAGGGGCAGGGGGAACTAATCATGTGTAATAAAGCTTTAGTTTCTCTCAGCAATAAGCGAAAAAATAACCTTACAAATTGCACAACAGAAGAGCATTAGGGACGCTTGACTGTGCCGCCGGAAGTCTTCTCGAGACGAGACGTTTGCTGCTGACTAACAGACAAACACCCACACACACAGCTGCACATGCCACACATACGTGCAGCGCTCTGATTGTTAATTACAGTTCACAAGCTCTGTGCAAAAACAGCAGCACTGCTCGACATGTTCAGATCTGCTTACCAGTCCACTGCAAGCCATTCTAAAAAAACGCAATATATAAAGAAGATTCATATGAAAGAGCAAACCATATGAGATGGGAAAACACCACAGACCGGCTCAGATCACGTGGAGAAGAGCGGAAGAGTGCTTCACCGGCTTAAGCAGGAAAAGCCTGAAGGATTGAATGGACGTGCGTGGCATAAATGAGGCTGAAGTGAGAGGAAATCTTGTATCTTTATCCCACGATTCCTCTTTTAATTAGCAGAGGTGCTGAAAGTGGAACTTTTGAAGATTTTAGACGCACTAGTGTAGATTGTTAAACTATTCAATTAGCCTGGTTGCAGATTTTGTTGTTCTTTTTTTATTTAAAAATAGCAAGTTATTCAAACATTTACAGGATATGTGAACAAAAGATTCTATGCAACTGTTTTCTGCCGCCTATACAGAAGAGAAAAGAAATATATTCGTGTAATTTGTTTTTTCCCCCCTTTTTTTTTTTTTTTTTACAAATCAGAGGTGAAACAAGAAAATGT